AATTAAAAAATTTTTTTTGTTCTAGTTATTATTGTGCCCACACCTGAATCAATCTGTCAGTAGAATAATGTACCCATAACTTCCTTAAATTTTGAAGCTAGAGGTGCCCCCTGCAGCTGGCTTGGAAGCTTTACAGTTTGTTGATAAAGTAGATCGTCTATGATCACGACTTGCTGACTAGTCTTGACAAGAGCTCAGAGCTGCTCTTTAAATGCAATCAAAGTACTAGCTATTCCTATTAGTAGTCTAGTGTCTGCGTTTTCATGATAATACAAAGCACTAGACTAACAAAGCACGGTTTTCAAACTTTTAGAAAAACGAGCGCCCGCATTTAGATGGGTCGAGAAATCTATGCATAGACCTATAGATCGATGATCTACCGTACAGAAGGAAATTTTGGAGGGACTAAATTTTGGCGAATTGCTAAATTTTGGTTATTGGCGAATTTTAATTTGGCGAATTTGTGGCCACGTGCCATTGAGCATGCGTATAATGGCTCAATATGGCGAATTTTTATTTTGGCGAATGGCTATCAAAACGCCAAATTCGCCAAATTTAACTACCTCCAAAATTTCCTTCCATACGGTATATGCTTGCTTGAGCCACACCTTTAAAAAGCTAACTTGAGCCACGCCTTAAACAATGGTAGATTGCTAGCGCTATCTGGTGGCTCGCTGGCGGTTGGAGCATCTATGGTTGGAGCTTCTTTGAATTGGTAGCTCATTTTTTGACAGTGGTCTGGCTGTTATGATATATTGGTGAGTTATTACAAACTTGATGTACAGTAAAGTCATTACTTTGCTAGCCTGACTTTGGTTTTCTTTGTTGCTTCCATATAAAATTAATGTTGCTTGACTTCAAATTTAATATTCATGTTATTAGATCGTCTATCTGGCATGCATCAAAGGCACAAAAGCAGAAAATTTTGTGTACTCAATCCTAAAATATAAAAATGCATGGAAGTTATGGATCTAGATTCATTTCATAAAAATGTGCGTGCTTGTAAATCTAGACTTAAATAATAATTATGCATCATTTACCTGTGTTCTGTGTACTAATAAGTACATAATACACATACACATAGATCAATAATTGCCTGTTCTTAGAATTTGATATTATTCATTGCTTTATATGTAGTCTATATTCACATGTAGTGAATATAGACTACTACACATGTGTATTTATGCTGTAGGTCAGTCCCCTTATTTTATTATTGTTAGAGTCAGTACTAGTTCATCACTTTTTGTAATATGGCACAGTGCCAAGGTATGTATAAACCTATTTTTGCTTGCCTGTACCATTTTATTTCACCAGACTATAATATTGATCAATCAAAATCCACCATACATGGAGGAAGAGTTCTACAGAGGAGTATTTCTCAGAGTCATCATCCTCTTGTAAGTGATAACACAGTCACCTTACGATCCCCTTTGTAGTTTATAGATTATTGATTTGAAAAGCGTAAGCAATTTTTTTACTTACAGCATGTTTGTGTAGTGGAATAGAATTTGATGTTATGAGTGGCACTGCACTGACTGTAATGTCAATGGCATTTTAAATATTAATTTTAAATCACTCATACATGTAGAACTAGCACCTTGATCTAGTTTTAAGTCTGTGTTTACCACTTCCCAGCTATATATTAGCCAAACAAAAAGGTTTTACATTATAATTGAAATTGTACCTACAAGTAGCTTACTGTGTTTAACATTATTGCTCCCCTTCACCATGTACAGTAACTGTCATCAGAACCTTCCCCCTTAGAAAGGTTTGAGGACACTACTATCTAAACAGGATGTTCTACATTTGATGTGCAATAGTTTCCTTCAATGATCATTTTGCCAAACAATCTCCATACATGTACATGTTTTTCAATATGCATTCAAATAGTTTAAAAATGTCAAACAAGATTATGAAAATAGCATAAATCAGTACTGAACTAGTTAAGAGTAGCATTACTATGCTGTTTACTATAGTGCCACCATTAATACTACATTCAGACATCATAAATACTATGGTGCACTGTGAATGTTTGCTGCCATCCAACTGGGCAAAAAATATCTATGAGACTGACCTTATTTTAAATTCTTGACATATCTTGTCTGCTCTGTCACTTGACCTGTCATATGTAGATAGCAGGGTCAGAAACCCTACCTCCTTAGATAGTGAAAGGATACAAGTATTGTGTGTACTATTATTTTATGCTTTTTCTTTTTTTGTTGTACATAATGTACATAAGTATAGTCTAGCAACCACTAAGGAGATTTTTTGGAGAGGTTTAGTAGTTAGGACATAGTTCAATGATTTTCAGCACAAATCTCCTGTTACAGCATGACTCTATATACCATAAAATATCCACCATTACAAGTCTAGCTCAACTTGATACATATAAGTTCTCCATCTATTTCTAGAATGAACCTGACGCCAAAAATATACTCAGTTTATGTGATGATATGAAGCTACCTATTACACTACATAACTATAAAGCAAAGTTCACTGCCTTGCTCTATTATGAAGAACAGGAACACATTGAACTATTAAAGAAGAAGTGAGTTTAAAGGGTATTTTTACCCAAATTTGACATATTTATTTTATGGCCTTAATATGATATCCTAAACATTATAATGATGTGCTCCAAATTTCACTGTCTAAAAATAATTGTTTACTGAAATATGAGCCTTTAAAGTCATGAAAAATTTTGACATTCCTGTAATGTTACTTCCTATTGGTGGGTGTGGCTAAACGTGATGTCATAGAATCATTTTAAATTTGGGTAAAAATACCCTTTAAGCATAATTAGAATAGTACTGAGCATTAATATTGTTGTCTTATTTTTAGATGTAATGGTAGTTTTGTCCTACAAAAATGTAAACCACCTGTCTTAAAAGGTGATGAAAAGAGTTACCCCCCTCATTTCTATTGTCTACAAGGAATGTCATCAGCACAGATCATGTATGCTACTCGAGCCAGCGATCGGCACGTTACTGTTAGTATTGGTCAACATAGCTATGTAGCAAAAATTCTCAGTTGTAATTATTCACATATTGATAATAAGCTATACATTTGTTTCAAAGACAGCATTGGTGTCCAGTCTTGTTTGATAGTAAATACAACATTTAATGTTAATCACCATTACTTTGATGGCCTCAATGATTGCATTAAGAGGATTAGCTCAAAAGTATTACGTCGTCTTATACCTACACCAGATGATTTCAAAAGTGCTCCAAGAGATATTGCCATTGACATTAGAAGGAAACTATGTAGAGGGATTGATCTTGATCCTGAGCAGATTCAAGCATTAGAAGCAATACTCAGTAACCAGTGTTCAGCTCCTGTACTTGTACCTGGTGCTTTTGGCTGTGGCAAGACTCGTCTTCTTGCTGTGGCTACAGAATGTTTCTTCAGAGAGCATCGTGAGACTGGTCACCGTTCACCTTGTCGTGTTTTAATTTGTTGTCATCATCAACATTCTGCTGATTTTTTTATGGAAAATTATTTTAGCAAAACCCTGTCACACTTTTGGCCAGTAAAAGTTCTTTGTGTTATGAACTCGCAGTATCACATTGATTTTTCAAATGTTATTGAAGCAACTGATTTTGATATATCACTATACAGACGTGAAACTGCCTTTCTATTGGTCACAACCTTTAGAGGAGCACTAACGATATCTAGAAAGAAGGTCGATCCTGATTTCTTTACTCATATTCTAATTGATGAGGGAGCTCAAACTTGCGAACCTGAAGCTCTTAGTCCATTACTAATGGCAAATAAAAATACTCGTATTGTTATTGCTGGAAACCATCAACAGGTATGTAGTATTATGTTTTACATGAATACAATTAATAGAAATATTTTGATATTGCTAAAAAGTAAGAACATTTCAGGGTATTATATCAATGTAGATTGTTTAGGGGCTCACATGTGTGTATGTATGTAATTGTACACTGAATTATGAGTCATTGTGTACATACAAATTGACAATAAACCAATAAATTCAATGTTGGGAGCTTTCTATTATGATTGCTTTGTAATGATTCACCATCATCAATTATTCATAATACCCACTGAATATAAAATTCAATTTGTTTGTTACCAAAAAATGCAAATCATTGTGGGGTTCACCTCCTTACCACATTTGACATACATCTTTGGCTCCTATGCATTTTAAACTGATAGCTAAATATTGTTTGCAAATTAGATATTTATAATTTTATGCAATAATTACATAAATTAGATACTAAATTCTATTATATTAAGGTGTATACAGCACTTGCATGGACTCTGCTAGCATATTATATTACATACATTAATTTAAATTATATTGTAGGTTGGTCCTCAACTTCTTGTTCTTGGTAAAGCTCCTCAGCAGTTTGGTTTATGTGTGTCACTGTTGCAACGATTACTAGAGAAGTATAAATCTATTGGAGACATTACCAAGAAAAACACTCCATCATGGAATATTAATTATCGCTCACAAGCTGACCTTTTGGAGTTACCTTCTAAGTTGTTTTATAACTCAGAGCTGAGAGCTTGTGGTACAGTATCATGCCACCCGAAAGCTCCTTATCCTTATGTTTTCATATGTTCCAGTTTTACTAATGATATTCCAGTTGATGCTCAGTGTGCTTTAGAGGCTGATAGACTCCTTCAAGCAGTGCAGCTATACAGTGACAAGTTCAAAAGCTGGGAACTGAAAGACACTTGCATTATGACTCCAAATTTGAAGCAGGTATTGTTTAGTTAATGCCTGGGGCTTAAATTTTGGAGATTTTGGATCTTAAAATTTTTAAAGAATAGGTGATTTAATTTTTAGTTTACAAAATTTTGACCTCATGAGAATAACCTCAAAAAATGTAATGTTTACATTTACACATATAATCAAGGGGACCTCTATCTTCTCTTGATCTTGATTTAATGTATTTTTTATGTCAAAATTAGACACATGTCTTTTATAGGCAAACCTTATTAAAGAATTGATAAGGACTAAATTCAAAAATTTAGAAGGCGTCAATGTTATCACAACTTATGAGATGAAAGGTATATGGACATTTTTTGTATTTCATTTAACATTACATGTGTATACAGGGCAAGAATACTGTATGCTTTTCATGAGTACTGTTGAAAGTTTAGAGCCCAATGGTCGACCATTTGATCCTTTGAAGAGTTTTTGTAATCCAGCACTATTTAATAGAGCAATCACACGCTCTAAAAGTCTTGTAGTAGCTGTAGGTAATCCTCTTATACTACTATTGTCTGAAGCTACTATGGATAATCTTAAATGGTGCTGGAGAGAGTTCATTTCAAGATGCCTTCGAAATGAAACATTCAAAAGTACTCCTTCTGACCGTGCCCAGTTTGAACAAGTAAAAATACAATTTTTTGACATGCTTAAGTGTGATAATACAGCTGGTAAGAATTTCATGTATTTTTGATATCACTTTAATATAATACTATGTAGATGTAATGAAATTGTTTCAAAAGAATAGCTATTCACAAAATCATTTCACAAAGCCTTCTCCACTATCTCAAGCTCCTGCACTCACTACTCCTTCTAAAATGCACTCGGCTCAACAGTCCAGTGAGCCGTCATTAGTTACTCTACCTTCAGTATCATGTCATTCAGCTCAAGATAGGAAGCAACCATATTCTCAAGTCAATCAAGACTTACCTTTTCTAAATGAAGCACTTTCACAGCCACAGCTAGATGTACTACCTTCTCCTCAAGAAAAAGAAAAGCAACTTACTTCTTCACCACATCAAACAAAAATATATCAATCTCCTACAAAACAACAGCCTCATGTGTTTTCACAGCATCCAGTTAAGCAGCAGCATTGCCCAGCAAATGAACAAGAGCAGCATTTTAAAATAGAACAGCAGTATGCTTATGCAGACAAGCAGGAGAAATCTAATCAGCAAAAAATTGCACAAGAAAAGAAAGGACACATAACTGATTCTCTGCCTCCATCAAAGCAAGCTGGTACAGATAATCCATCAACTCCTCCAAAATTATCATCTTCAATAAAGCTAAAAGGAAGTAATGCAGCTCTTATTCCACTAAAATCTAACATATTACCTTCAAAATCTTCACATACAGATACAGTGTTTACAAAAAAATCAGCATCTCAAAATAAAGTTCCTATTTCTCAAGGTAAGTTAATATTCATTTTTGTTTTATATTTCCTTGTTTTTGTACTTTAGCACTCAAGAAATCTGTTTCAATGCAATCCTTCAAAGACCATGACCACTGCCCTATTAATGAAGAGCTACTAGCTGCTACATTAACTCCAAGCAACTATAAGGAGAAGTTTCACCAGTTATTGTGTCGGGAAGAAGATGAACATGAGAGGTTTCTTAGAGACAGGTATATAATTAAACAGAATATATTTAAAAATTTTTAATCTTATAATTTAGGTGCGATGGTTTTTATGATTTAAAGTTGTCAAGTGTTAACTTGTGTATGATTAAGCACATTGAGAAGTATCAAGAAAAGTATAAATTATTTTGTACAATATCAAACACTCAACTTGATGCTGATGCAATAGCTTATGCTATGCAGGCAAGTGAAAGTATAGTTGTTCTACATTTGTCTACTGGAGATATGCAAGCAAATATTCTCGAGGCAAAAAACAAAAGTAGCCTTTATTTTCTATTGGGGCTCACAACATATCCTGGAGTTAAACTAGAACCAAATGTCAGTGTGACCTTCATTTTAAAATACTCTTATTTTGATCGTCTTCATCGAGCCTTAGATAGTTTGCCTCTAGCTGTACTTAATCGTTTAATGCCTAGTAACCCTTGTCATTTTAGTAATGTGGTGTTGAATAATGAAGATATTCCTCTTCCTATTAAATGTGTTCGTGACATAGTCAAATTAGAATATTCACAGAGGATGGCACTTAAGTCTATAATGAGCTGTGAAGCTAACAAAGCACCTGTTTTAATCGTAGGCTCATTTGGAACTGGTAAAACTCAGTTGATCGCTCGTGCTGCATATGAAATATTACAACAAGATCGAACAAGCAAGGTTCTAATCTGTGCTCATCATCAGCACTCTGCAGACACCTTTATGGCTAATTACTTTTCAGAGATGATTGATTCTGGTTGGTACTGTGGTAAAGTTGTTCGTCTGATGGCAAATAGAGATTATTGTGCTCCTTCAAATTGTGTAAAGTATTATGCTACTATTCAGGATTGGCAATTCAAAAAGCTGAACCAAATCAGCATAATTGTCACAACATTTTCTACATCACTTCATATGCTTGGAGTTGTCCCTAAAGATTTTTTCACCCACATTTTGTTAGATGAAGGTGCTCAAACTCGAGAACCAGAATCTATTGCTCCTCTTTGTTTAGCTGATGATAATACACAAATTGTAATTGCAGGAGACCACAAACAAGTAAGTGATCTCACCAACTATATCTACTGTGTAGAGCTTATGTTTTTTGAATAATAAATTTTATTATTAATATCTGCAAATGCCTAGTAAAAAAAATTTGTATGCACGAGCCATAAGTGCTAGTATTATGTTATCTATTAATTATCAATGAACTTATTCATGGGCTCCTGACTTATTGAATAGGTTGGTCCCTCTTTGTTAGTGCTTGGTGAACTAGCTATTAAAAATGGTCTGAGTCTGTCATTGCTGGAAAGACTGCATATTCTTTATAATGATGAGAGGCTAACTGATGCTTCATCAGTACATTCTGCTACTCTTCTCACTAATTTTAGATGTCATCATGCTATACTGTCTCTTCCATCGTATTTATTTTATGATTCTGTATTGATTACCGCTGCTGAAGCTGTCACTCATCTTCATCCTGAGGCAAAATACCCTCTTCATTTTATATGCTCTGATCTTAGTGTAGCAAAAGAAATATCTACTAATGATAATGAGATTGAAGTCACAATATTGCTACAAGAAATAAGTAATTATGTTGAGAGCTGGCCAGATCAATGGGGTGAAATGGATCTCTCTAAAATTTGTGTTATGACAGTAACAGCTCACCAAGTATGTCAAAATTTTATATCTGGTTGATTTAATTGTAAACTTTAGAAAATTAGAGTTATTCAAAAGCTGTCTCATCACTATCTAGATATTGATGTTCGAACTGTTTTTGATATTCAAGGTAAAGCTGATTTCATAAAAATCTCCTGAAAATTAATTGTTTTTCCTACATGTAGGTTGTGAGTATGAGGCAATTTTTCTTAGTACAGCAGAGCCTACTACAAAAGAAGGCAAATCTAAAAATCCAACCAAGACACCTTGCAGTCAATATGTATTCAATACTGCATTAACACGTGCTAAATCGCTTGTAGTATGTGCTGGTAATCCGTTTCTATTGATGACAATAGAAGAAAGCATGGGTAATGAATGCTCTTGTTGGAAAGAGTACATTAGAAGGTGTATACTTTCTAAAACCTTTGTAGTACCTTCTCAACTTCAAGATGAAGCAAGTCAGAGTGTAGTTCATGATCGAATAAAAATGTTGCAAAAGATGGTTTTTAAGTTGTCACCTGTTATAGCTACAAATTTTACTAAAGATAGCATATTAAAATCGTTTCAACTAACATTAAAATCCATACCACAATACAAAAGAAGTGAGCTACTGAAATTTTCGTACTCAAATTGTGATATTTTGGACTTTGATGATAGTGAAGAGAGTCAATTTAAGAAAGAAGGTGAAATAGAAGGTGTTTTTGATTGTGAATTACAAATAAAAAGCTATCGCTCAGCTATTGCAATTCCACTTGATCAATCGAAGGAGCCCATAGTTATTAATGGATTGAATAATAGAAGAGGAGCTTTTAACAATGATATAGTGCAAGTGGAAGTTACTGTATTCAATTCTCATTCTGCATCTGGTGATGATAAAGCATTGGTTCAAAGGTCTGGTAGGGTGGTAAAAGTCATTAAAGCACAGCATCCAACTAGGTATGTATGCCGTGCTGACCAATATGGCTTCATTAACTTTTACCCCTTTAATAAAACTGTTCCAATAATAGCTAACCTTCCTAAAATATCTCGCAAGCTTCTTCGATATCGTCCAAAGGATGACCAGGCCCCTATGATTCATGATTACATTACAGTGTTTAGGGAGGACTCAATATTTGGTGCTAATTATGATATCCCTCGTATTAAGGAGCTCATACCATTTGAACTGTCACAGAATTTCTTGTTTGTTGTCGAAGTCCTTCAATGGAAGAAAAAGCACCGAACAGCATTAGGAGCTGTCATTGAAGCTGTTCCACGTACATCAAACATTTTTTTTACTAATCACTTGCTTAACCTTGTTTATAACATCCAAGAAAAAGATGAAGAAGTACATGCACCACTTCTACCTCCAAATGAAACTAATGGGCTTCATCATTATAATAGAGCATTTACCATTGATCCTCCTTTATCTAAAGATTTGGATGATGCAGTCAGTTTGACACCTCTTCCTGAAGATGGTAATTATGAGCTGGCAGTTCTTATAGCTAATGTTGCCAAACGTATAAATGAAAACCATCCTTTAGACAAGAAAGCTAAACAGAGGGGGACATCTGTATACGGTGCTAAACAGAGAGGTGCTCAACGAGTGCATCACATGTTTCCATCCAGTATCACGTCTCAATTGAGCCTTGACTATTTGAAAAAACGGCATGTTTTATGTGTACCTGCTACAGTAGTCATAGAAGAAGGAGTGGTAACTAGTGTAGTGTCTGGTGATCCAAAGGAAGCAATGGTCACTTCTCAAATACAATTCACTTATGAATCTGCTAAAAAGGTAATGCATAATGAAGAGGTTGATGTTGAGACAAGAAGGCAAGTTGAAGCTTTTGATGCTGTCAGCAGACCAAGCTTACTAATGGCTAATACTCTTAATCTACTGTATGAGATAGCTATGTACTTACGCATTAAGAGGTTAGGTGATGCTGGTTATTGTTATGACCGACCTGAGGAAGATGAAGAGAGTAACTGGCAGACTCATCTACTTATTGAAGAACTAATGATATTTTGTAATGCAGTGATAGCTGAATATCTTCACGATAGGCTTCCACAGCAAAGTGCCTTATTTTTGGCACAGCTACCTATTTTGAAAGAAGAGAAGCATGACTTTGTTAAGCAGAATCAAAAATGCTTACAACACTCTCTGTCTCTTAAATGTTACTTAAATGAATTTGACAATGAAGCAGCTCCTTTGATTCTACCTAATACAACACTTCATGCACTTGTTGATGCATGCTCTAGAAGAGATCACATTCAATTGGCTTCAATTCTTAACAATAATAAGCTTTACCCACAGCTAGCAATGGCAGAGGCTATGTCGCGAATAATCAATAGGAAAGCCAGTTATATTGTGATTGAAAACAGCAATGAGCATATTTGTGCTGATCATCCTCATACTGGTCTTTTACTGCCAACATATACTCATTTTACATCACCAATCAGGAGATATGCTGATTTGGTTGTGCAAAGATTAGTAATATCACTCATAGAGGGAAGGCCTATAGCAGAGAATTCTGATAAGATTAACAATGAATTGTGCTCTCAACTTAATGTCAAGAGCAAAGCTGCAAAAGATTATGAAAGGGCTGATAATAAAGCATGTATAACCAGAAGCTGTGAAGCCTCACTGGAAAGAGCAGAAGCTTTTGTGATTCAATCTTATAAAAATATCAACGATTCATTTGAATTATCCTTCTCTTCAAATCATTATCAGTGTATTCATGGTCAAAATACATCGTTTAGCATATCGGATCTTAATAGTCATCACAAAAATGAAGATGGAACTATTGTTTGGAAAATAGTTTCAATATCATTGTGTCAATCATTTAGCCTATTCTCTCATCCTGATGTAATTGATATGCTTCCTACTAGTTCTAAATCTTCTCATTGCTCCATTGCTGCTAAAATGTATCAATGTACACAAAGGCTTGAAGAAGGAGAACCACAGCTTCATTGGTCTAGTGCTGATTTGACAGTCCGTGATAAAGCTATTTCTCTTAGTCCAGAATGCTGGCTAGTAACACACCAGTATCTTAAATATCAAAATAAAAAGAATTTTAAAGAAGTAAAAAGTCTAATTCTCCAATTGCAACAAGAAGCCAATAAAGTTGAATGCCAGTCAAAAAGAGATGAAGGGACTGTTGCAATAACGTATGAAATTCAACGACCTTTTACAGCTAATGATATAGTGACAGTTTGGTTAGGAAAGTCTCTTAAAGAGTGTCTCCCAGTACCAGCTATTCAATTAATGGAGATAGCACCAACAGTTCGTGTGTGCCTTCAACATAACAAGAATCCTTCTCTCTGCTTTTTTGTTGTCCCACTACAAAAAGCATCACTTGCTGCAGGATATCATTCAATAGAACAGTATGTAGAGCTTTGGAGTAAAATGTTAATTGCTGAGTCCGCTAATGAAAGTGTCAAGACAAAGAATCTTATATTCATCAGACATGCTAATCTGAAGTGGAATGGATTTACTCGAGTTGATGATTATATTGATGATCCTTACTATAAACCAAATAATCTTTCCCTTGTCATACCTCCCAGGAATCAAGACTCATTGGATTTTATTAGTATCAAATCTGGTGACTTTCTTTGTGTTCGATATGAGATTAGTGATAGTCTGAATGCTGTCTATCACTTTGCTGTGACCAGTGTTGAACGTGAAAGTGATGAAAAAAGTAATCAAAAAGACATTGTAATAAGAATGTGTGCTGAAGGTGATCACTCATGTAGAGTCACTGAGAATATGTATCAAAAATTAAATGAAGGAAACCTAACTTGTGAGATACAGCTCATACCAATGCCAGATTCTTTTCAGTAAGTAATATCAATGAGATTTTTTTGATTTAAGCATTTTATTATTCTCATTAGTATTAATATCATTATCTTAGATTTTTTAATTTTTTTATAGCCGAGTGCATGCAAGATTAAAGAAAATATTAAAGGTTAACCGTGAGTGGTCTAGCCTTTCTAAAACAATTGCAATTTCTGACACAAGATCAAATGATTTTAATAGACTCACTGCTGGGAAAAGTAAGATTTTAAAATAATTTTTAGTATAATATTTGCTTCAGAGCAATGTGAAATTTCACTCAGAGTATTCAATGATGATCCACTGGCAAGGCAACTATGGAGAGGAGAGCCTGGTAGAGAATTGAATGCTATACAGCAAGATTCAATTAAAAGAGCACTGAGGAATAGGTTTCAGTTGATTCAAGGACCACCAGGTAATGAGAGCTTTAAACTTTGCTTGATTTATTGATATATGTGACCATAATTGACAAAAGGGCCCTTATGGCGGATTTTAAAATTGATAGTTATAATGGAAAATATCAACCTGTGAGTGCTTTGTTAGACAATCATTGTTTCTAAAAGTTTCATGGTAACTTTTTGCATCCTGTGGAGTAATTTTATGATAACTGGGGCTCAGGAAGTTGGATTTCTTAGGCTAGAAAGACAAATTTCACTACCCGCCATAAGGTACCTTTTGTCAATTATGGTCACATATGTGTAATATGTATTGTAATGATACAGGTACAGGAAAGAGTGAGACTGGGGCACATTTAGCTTATGTTTTTGCAATAACAAATGAAAAGATGTCAGAAGAAGTTTCTAAGAAAAAGTCAGTACTCTATTGTGGTCCCTCTAACAAATCAGTAGATGTGGTTCATAGTAAGTAATTTACATTTACGAGTAGCTTAACTTCAATGTTACTTAGAAAACTTGCATTTATTAAACAGAAGGTTAGGAAGCAAAAAATTACAAATTCTTCGCATTTATGGGCGTTCTCATGAGCGTAAAGATTACCCAGATCCTGTTTTTGATCTGACACAAGAAAGAACAAACAGAGATGATGATGATGATGATGGTCGTGTCTTAGAAATGTTTCGTGATGAATCTCTACACAAAAGAATAAGAAACAATTGCCCTGAAATAGTAGCTACTGAGAACAGACTACAAGAGCTACTGGATCAAGGTATCATTCCATCATTAGCTGAAAGAAAAAAGTTAGTCTTTAATTGATGACACACTGTGTTCCATGTCAATAGTGATTTTATTAGTATAAACTTAAATCCATCTTAGACTGCTATAAATATTATTTAATCAAAAATAGTAGAATAAAACTCATAAAATGTGTAGCTGTACTACCTAATTTAAAATTGCCATTATTCATATGTAATACAATAATGATAGTGCATTCATCCTCTGTCTAGTTATAAGAAATTGATCACTGATGAAGAGAAAAAAGAAATTCAAAAGAATTATGATGTTATTCTTTGCACTTGCAATGAAACATGCAGTCAACGATTGTTGAGATCCAAAGACATTCTAGCTCAGTGTATAATAGATGAGTCTGGTATGGCCACTGAGCCTGAGACAATAGCTGCAAGCAGTTTATGTGAACATGTAGTGCTGATAGGAGATCACAAGCAGCTACAACCAGTTGTTATGTATCCTCCAGCCAAGGAGTGTGGCTTGGGTACTTCATTGTTTGAGAAATATGCCAATCAGTTTGAGAAAACTAATGATCCACGTTTGATAACATTAGAACTGCAGTATAGAATGGTAAGTATAATTGCAAACAAAATGTGGCTGTTTGTGATGCTGTTATTAATGTTGGTAACAAGCTATTTTATTTTGTGTAGCATTCATTCATATGCCAAGGACCATCAAGTATTTTCTATGATAGTAAATTAAAGGCTGATCAAATTGTCAAAGAAAGACGTCCGCTGACTCAATCTATAGATTTGTTTTGGTCTAGAGGACAGCAACACCCTGTTATGTTTCTGAAAGTTTACGGAATTGAAAGATCTACTGATAGCAAATATTCAAGAAAAGTTGATTCTCACTCTAAATGCAATGAGCAGGAAGTTAAAACAGTGGTAAGGCACTTTATGCATTTTGTGATGCAATTGCGATTAATTTGTGTACTGTCAGATACTGTAGTAGTATGGGGAAGTGGTTTTAAAATTTTACTGATACTTTTACTGATACTTATTAAATTTATATTTGTGGTAGTTAAAATGTATCAAGAAGCTGGTGATGAATTATGATGTTAAATACAAGAGCATAGCAGTCCTCACTCCTTATGAGGCACAAAAGAGTCTTGTTCTTAACACGATAAAGAATGACTCTGTGCTAAAGGCAAAGTGGAAAAGTTTAAGAGTTGCTACTATAGTTGAGAGTCAAGGTACGTAATGAATGTTTTTTGTTGTGAGTGTTACCGTATGGGTATGAAATTTTGTATAGTATTAATTTTGCAGATTTTGTGATTGAATTCTTAACCACGAAAATTAATACCAAAGAAATTTTTCCTGCGCATGCACAGCATGGGTAAATCTATTGCTTCGTGCAAGTGCATGTGCAAAAACGCAAAAATTAACCCCTTCAAAATTAAAAAATTAAGACCTTTTCACTAAAGTACAAAATTTTATACCCTTTGAAATTTACTACCTGTACCGTAATGTATCCCTTAGGTGATGAGTATGATATTGTCATACTAACAACTGTCAGATCACAAGAAGTCAGTCAAATCAGGTATAAACAGTATGTTCAACCTGACAGGGTATGGTTCGCAGAAAATCTTGGCTTCCTGACTAATGACCATCAAATCAATGTTGGTATCACTCGTGCTAGATATGGGCTTATAATCATTGGTAAGCAACTGGGAGATAATTATGAATGCAGTAATTATGTGGTCACGTAATTAGGTAATGATATATTACTAAAGTATGATCCAACTTGGAATAAGCTGATTGAAATTTATGAAAGGGAAGGATGCATTTGTACAATATAGCTAGCAATAGTTGTAAATTATTATAGAAATATTGACTGATGTATATAATTTTAAATGATATATTTTTTAATGTTTTAGAATTTATTTTCGTTATAACATTTGTGTCAATTAAAGCTTGGCAGTTTTGCATAACCTCACACTGGCATTTCTACTGACACTAACCTGAAATCTCAGTCTGGCAATAGTTTCTCATATCTAGGTCTATGGGAGTATTTTTAATTTTGGGTGTGTTTGCTTTATGAAGCCATTTGTCTAGTATCGTCAACTAATATGATTTTAACTACTGGAATGTGATTTTGATAGTCACAATAAATTCTGAATGTAATGGGAGTAAGAATTGTGGAGGATGGCATTTGTGAAAACAGAGCCACCCAGTACAAACCATCACCAAAAGGATGAATGTGACAATTTACATTAAAGGTTAGAGTATTAAATGTTTATAGTTAGCCATAAAGATACAGTAACACTGACTTAAGTCTGTACAATGTATTGCATTAATAATGATACAAAAGTAACATATTAACAAAAAATTTAGATCTAATTCATAAAACTACTTAATGTCACACTAAAGGAATTTATTATTAGTCATTAAAATTCTTCAGATACTCTTTTTAAGTGTACTGGAGGAATAGTAAATCCTGTGATATTGCCACTTGATTTATCAACTGGATCAAAATAGACCCATTTTCCTAAGATGGCTAACAGTTCACCAGTTAGGCAAGGCAGCAAATGTGATGGATAATACATCTATAAAAATATAACAATGACATATGACATAATGATGCCTTGTAATACCTGCATTGATTGAACATCATGATAATAGAGATAAACACTCATCACTTGCCCACTATAATTATAAGAGAGATACATTTCATTATTTTTAACAAAGATATTTGCTGTCACTACATTCAGTAGTGCCTTGTAGTGGCCAACATATATATTTGGATTGGGAGGAGCTGGCACAGGAGGAACATTGTCAGAAAGGAATGAAACAAACGGTGGCAAAAATATATCAAAGGCTTTTTTTGCAAAAGTACCATCATCGACAGAGCCAGAAAATAGCGCATTAATTCCTACTTCAATGTAAACAATAATAAATGTAAAACAATGCTTACCTAAGTGAAGTTCAGGTATGAAGCTAAAAAGAGCCGAGTAACCATTAATGTTCCCTCCTTTTGTACGAATGGTGTAATTTCCATCAAATAAAATTTCCCATGGAGTTCCAAACCCACTCTGCCCATCAGGATTGACAAAATCTGTTGAAATTAGGGTTACTGCCATGCAAAGGCAATGTGTTGCACTTACATGGAAGAGACATTTCTCGTCTTAAGTCTGAGCTTAAAATTGATTCAAAATCAGAAAACAAAACGCTACTGTCATTAAAGGCCAAAATATGAGCCTCATAAAAGAATTGAGACAGCTATGGTGTGTTTCATAAAACCGAGTTAAAATAATTCTGAACTCTTACTTTGTTCAAATCATTGATGGTTGAATACATTTGTCCTGCAGGAGAGATATATCCAAGGTCAATGAGAGGTGCTTCATCACCATCTGGAGTATAGCCAACAGCCATGCGATCTTTGACACTGTGTATGTTGTAATTATTTACCATGCCATACATACTGTACGTACTCATCAGTTATTTTGAAACCAGTGTTTGTCAGTTGTAGTGGATTTATTATCTGGTCTTGTGCGTAGTCTTCAAAACTCTTTTTTTCATCATAATGAGTGGCTAGCAAGTTACCCAATAATGCAAATGCCAGATTACTAAGTGATAAATGATTGTAAGGTAAAATTTTGGAAGCACTTTTTTACTCACCTGTAAGATGGTCTTGTCCAGGATGGAAGAAGCAAATTCTGTGAGCTTAACTTACTTAGTATCTCACTGTTTGTTAGTGGGCATATATTCAGTCCTAGAGGAGTAAGACCACATGGAGCTTCACGAGGTAGGCCAGAAAGCTGTGAAGCCATCTGTCTTAATGTAATATCACTCCTATTGAGAAAAGCAGTATTTTAAGTAGTGATGTTGCTGTTCAAATACTTAGAGAAGGTATTGTTGATTTTAAAATCAGGAGCATATTTTGTTAAAGGATCATCCAGAGATTGAACAGAGCCTTCAGCATAAAGTTGATAAAGCATTATTACCTTCAAAAAGGGTCATAAATATGCGTACAATGTACTAAACTTACTGGAAATACTTTTGATACACTACCAATCCTAAATATTGTGTCATCATCAGGAGCAATTCCAGGCTTGTTTTTGTCTTTTACACCAAATCCTTTACTCCATATATTTTTACCTTTATACGATATACCCATAGCAACTCCAGGCTGTACAATAAATAAAATAATTAGTTGCGATAATAAGAATTAATTTACCACTGCCTTATTGTCAACATAGCTCTCTCCCAAAGCACTAAGCTGTGACAAAGCATTATTGATAATGTCAGGAAGTTCGGATGGAATGTCAATAGGTAATGGTTGAGCTGGGCAGTTGTCACTCAGTGACTGATGAACATGTTGATCAAATGAACTGAATAATAATCTTCTCTATGCATTGAGTAAAACTGACATTGACTTAAAGCCACTTACTGTTGTATCAGGACTACAATGAGCAAGTAGAGTAAAGGAGAAGAAGACAATGAGCAAATAGAGACAAGCCATTCTTGGAAAAAGATGCTTACTAAAGGTGTTAAAAAAACAATGCATTCATGCAATGTCATATCATCAGGGTGCTGCTGATCATGTGCTAGACTGGCACTAAAGTAGACTATAATGATTTTGCACTGCTAGCACTAGCAAACTGTCTTATCAGTGCAAAGTTTTAGCTTGAATGAAGCATAAATCTAAGGATAGTCTTGTGGATGAGACTACTCTAAGCACTATAAGGGTAGATTTATCAGTGTAAAAGAAATTTTAAAAATGAAACTCTTGGGTGCGATAATTGTGCATGTCTGTTGTTCATTTTTTTGAAAAACTGCTGTTCAAAAAGCAGTCTATGAATGTAATAAATTAAGTTCAATATAGCCAGCTTAAATTTTCTGTGGAGACTAAGAATGATGGACACTATTTTTTAGTTTAGAGGAGGAGAATGATAGCATATCAGTCATCAGCCAAGATCAGCTCATGTAATCATTATTCAAATCATATGCTATTATGACGTCATAGTGCAATCTTGCATTTTGACGGTTACGGCCTGTGGTAAAGGCAGGCTCACCTCTTTCTCTTTCTCTTTCCCTCTGCCTTATCTCTCTTTTCCCGTTCCGTCACTCTTGTGAGCCTCACTAATAGATTGAATTCAGTAGGTAAGTGCTGTGTTATTTTGTTTATCTATCGTTGTACGCCGATGTTAATGAGCCAGTTAGATCTATATATATAATATATAAATTAATTAATTTTGTTGTCCACATTATACCAACATGTACCATTTCTTTAGTATATCTAATGCATTTCTTACAATTTGGTTTTGCTATAACGCCCATGGCCTATTTAGGATTTATTAGCCTTTTGCTTTTTCCTGGCAATTCTTGCCTTTCCTGTAGCGTGCCTTCTTTATTGACTCATGTCTAACAACAGCCTTTGGTGGATCATTATGTGCCACAGTCTAATGATGTGTATTGTGCATGATTCTCTGGTTTGCCATACCAGTTAGAATATTACTTTTAGCTGAAATGACCCTAGGAATGCCTAATGAGTGGTCAGACTTATGAATATTGTTAAGCAACAAAGGATTGTGCTGATCTGTGTTGGTAGTAGTGCCTGGTAGTCTCATGATTGCTGTTTTTTCTAAATCATGACCTTTTCCTAATATTATATTGCTTTTAATGAATGAACTACATTATTAGTGTGTGTGGTTGTTATGTTATCAAATTGTTGTTTATCATGTGTTTTGCACATGTTCAGCATGTGATCCATTGGAGTACACATCTATTGTTGGCAGCCTTATTTAATATTGTTATTTCCTCATAGTAATTTCAAAATGTCGGGTGAGACCACCCAACAAGATCTGGTATGGGTATCTCCATCTGAATATGAAAGTGCCTCAATGGAAAGAAGAAGTAAAATGGCAGGTGAAGATACTACCGATCTCCCTGGGTCTGATCTGCCTGCTATACTCATACAGAATGGTAATATTATTAGTGATCACTATTGTATTATTTATTGCAATGAATGTGTAGGCCTTCATTTGAAACAGAAAGGTGAATCACAACCTTTCGAGCTCTTTAACTATTGTCCTGCTCCTATGATGAACCATCCTATCAGAGTTGATTGGAAAATTGTGACACAGACACCTTTAGAAGGTCACCACATTCTCTGTCGTCAGCTACAGCCTAAAGATGACCTCCCATCGATAATCCAATCATGTAGCAGTGAAAATACACGTGGACTCATCATCATCACACATAATGACTCGTATCTTCTCTCGCGTGATTATAACTGGGAGGGAATGGAGTCTCCTCATTTCCCTGTGTGTGTGCTGAACAATACTATGGGTTCCAAGCTATTAGAAGTGATGTCTCATCATGATCAAGGTGAATTGTTAATGAACATATTGAGTAAGAATATGTCAAGAGAGGATGCCATGAAGTGCAAGTCACCTTCACCTGAAGACTTATCATTGACTTTAGAAGAAGTTAAAGGTCAGTATAATATGGCTATGAATGGAAAGGGCAGAGGAAAAGTAAATTGTATTGGGAAATTTGGGATAATGTCATTGTTAAGTAAACTATTGCTTGAAAATCATTATCTAGTGCATAATGCATGTAGAATGTACATGTACGGTTTGTAGATTATAGTAATGCTTTCTTATCTACTTTTAGTGTTATTCATTTGTCAATAGGCAAACATAAGCGTCTTCGCTTGTTTAATCGTCCAAAATCTGACCTTAAGAAACGATTAAAGGAGATGATGACTTCTCCCAGCACTGGACCGTATTGTCTCTCTGAGAACAGGGAACTGTTTCAGCGTGTGATGGAAGAGTTTTTCCATTATGAAGAGAATGTGAGTATATAAAAGACACACTGCATATATGCCTGTATGTGTATGTATATGCATTTGTACTTGAATAGCCCTTCTATTACTGACTATCTATTGTTGTTCACTAGTGAAAACAGCCTCATAAAGTAATCTGTGTATGGTGGGTATAGAGGGATTGTCTGTACCCTGCAATAACAACTTGCTATTATTAGAGGTTGCTTGTTGTACTGATAACAGCTCTTGATTATTATAATACACTATCCAATGGTGCTCACAGCTTTTATGTACTGTATAGAGGTTGCTAGTGTACTATAGAGGTTGCTAGTGTACTGATAAGAGCTCTGATTATTATAATGTAACACTATCCAATGGCGTTTATTGTATATTGTTATGACTTACATCTACATATTCAATTGATTAATTTATCAAAATAGGCCAAGAGTCCGGCAGATGGTGATGCTAATAGTCGAGTATTTCAGAAACTGATCAAGTTTATTGCTGTTGACGAGGTCTTCAGAAAAGATGTTCTGTTTTATGTATCACTGGCTTTTAGGGTTTTCAAGTAAGTGAACCTGGGCTATTACAATTTCATTGATCACTTTTGTACACGTGTTTTTAGGCTTCAGCAGATATATGCATGTGAAGAATTAAGCCAGTATATTAGAAAAGTTATTGTAAAATTTGAAGAAATGATGGAGGACAATAAACTAGAGCCAATAATGAAGTTCATTGAAGGGTATGTTATTGTACTGTGCATGTAATACTAACATTAGACATCCTGTAGTGGTGATTTGATGATACATTTTGAGGAAGAGACACAAGATGCTACATGTAGTTTATTTAATGTGCTGGAGAAAGCTTGTATTGTCCTCATGAAGGAGTCACAGAAAATGAAGTCAAAAGGACTTCAAGGACATCAGCACCACAAATCTCTTTTATGCAAGATGTTATGGTGTAAGTATAATGTGTTTGATGTGGTTATGTCTGTCTGCTTGACCACATGTTCATGTACTTGTACATGTTTTTTATTGATTTCTTCTTTAGTGTCTGTCAGTCTCAAGTTCAAGTCACTAGGTAGTTTCAGAGATGGTAAAAAGGTGTGGTATGACCACATTGCAAAGGTACAGTACATGCATAATAATGACACAATGACTTTGTTTAATACTTGTTGTAGGAGCCTGAGAAATATACTCTTGATGCTCAGTCTGTGGAAGACTTTTTATTTGGCCTTCAATTTGGTGTTCATTTAAAGTTACCAGTGGAGAGCTCTTTTAATATGGAAGCATTAGGAGCTCTAATGGCATCAGGGAATACTGTTAGACATTTCAGTCAACTAAGGTACAACATGTACATGCATGTACATGTATTAGTACTTTATGATTTATTACACTCGATTCATGTGTATGTGTACATGACATATGTGCATGCATGCATGTGCTTTGTCTAGCATTGTTTATTATACTGCCATGCATTGTTTGTGTGTTAGCTAGGGTTTATCCACCCATGTATGCATGTACATGACGTGCATGTACACATGTTTGTAAATACTTAATTGTCATTCTTTTATTGTTGCATTTTCTTGTATAGTTCTTTATTAAAGAAGATAGAGGGTCACCTTCATGTTCCTGAAGAGTTTCTTGAGCACATTATTAAACGATTGAGAGAACCTTATAGCCGGTATTTGGAACCTGCTAGTCAGAAATTGGAACCACTTAGTCAATTTGGTAATCTTCTTGGAGCCATTCAAGAAGTAAGTTTAATACAATCATGCATCCTTACACATGATTTTATACTTTTGTCCATTACATGTATGTGCATGTATAGTCGCATTTAGGAATTACATTTACCATTTACATGTATATGTTTTTGTCAGAACATGTACATGTTGATCATCTGGTTCTTGGACAAATTTATCTTTTATTTTAAAAAATGATATTTATTATATGTTTGACTGAATCACTGTAGTAAGTATCATCTATTTCATTTTGTGTAGGGTTTAACGTTCCTTGATACTGTGATTGAATTATGGAATGATAAGAACTGGAAGCACCAGTCGTTTGATGCTGAAATGTTTAAATGGGTTGAGATGCTATTGAACACTGTAAATGTATCTGTGGATAAAGCTAGCTCTTATGTCAAGGAGTTTGTCAATCAGATGTCTCATCCAGTTTGTGCACAGTACCAAAAGCAAATTGTTGAAAAGGTTTTTTAACTTTTTAATTTGTACTTTTGTGATTAAAACATTGTTCCTTTATAGTTGAATGAGAGTGTTACAAACGAGTTTCCTCATTTGAGTATACTCAAGTTTTCTAGATTATTCAAAACATTTTTCATCTGGCCATCAACAGTATGTCTTGATGAAAATGGATGAAAAATGATGATATTTATTCTTTAATTTTAGCTTGTGAAGGAATACTTGTTTGATTACAGTAAAAGGATACCAACAAGAATGAACATTAATGACACCACATGGGTTGATTTTCTAACTGATGTTGTTGAAAGGTATATACATACATGTACATATTTAAAATAATTATGTACATGTACATGTACATGTAGAGTCATGTACAGTATGTACCTATGCATAGTTGCATACCATTTTATAATAATTATTTTATTAGGTTCCCTGGTGCTGAAAATCATACTTTTATACTTGAATTCCTTACTTATATTGGTGAACACTATCTGTCTGAGAGGAGGCCTAAAGATTTCATATTCCATTTGCTGAGTATGAATATACCAGGACTGTTTGTAGTAGAGCCAGGGAAGGAGAATCATGCTGCATCTCAAGGAGTACCCATTAGCTTCAAGACAATACTCAGAGAATATATCCAGAGAAACAGACTAAGCAGTTCTGTTGTTTCTCATGTCACTGCAATATGGGTATGTGTCGACTACATGTACAATGTACATGTATGCATGATCTTGTTTTAAAATATTAGTGCTACATGCATGCATTGTACATGTACATGTACATACATGTACTTTAAACAAATTTATATATTTTATGAAACTAAAAGTACTGTGGTACTGACTGTACCACATGTTTATTTTGTTATGTTTATGCTACAATAATTTATTTATTTTATTAAAATAGAAATCAGTGTCTAATATGAGCGAATTCCAGCTCCTTGTACTTTCTGTGGTGGAGAAGGAATTAATCCCAGAGTCTCGTAATCTTCAAGAGCCCATCAGCACTTCAGTTAAGAATATACTTGAAGACACTGTTAAACTATTGGCATATGATGCCTCATGGCTAGAAGAGCTTTCTCTACATCATAAATTTGCTTTTGGTGTTGTCTCAGTTTGCTGTTCACTAATCCCTGTTGCCGAGAGCCTTGACTGGACGTTACCTTATTCTGAAGTGGTGAAGAAACTTGGGACAATATTCAGCTGTTACTGTAAAGCAAAAGGTTTGTATCACATTTAAATTGTGTTATTTACTGTACTGTCATCCTGTATTTTTGTATTGTGTTGATTTTCATTTAAAATTTTTTGTAGGGCTGGATGAAGAAGACTGCATTTTGAAGTCGATTCCTGAGGACATATCAAAGATTGCATGTGATGAGATAAACACATACTTCCAGTGGGTCATTGATATACAGCAAGTCATCTCTCGATGGAAGAAATCGTTTACTGAGAAGTCACTGACATATGATAATATTCAGCATTTTAATCATTGCTATGTGCATGTGTCAGCTGTTGGGCAATCAGTGCTTGCTTCTTCTCTTGTTTATGATATGCAGTTAGCCAAAGAAGCACACAATGAGTTCTTGAAGTTGTTTGAGCAGCTCAATATTCATTTGATTAAGTACATTGCTGGTCAACCTGAAGCCTCATGGTTAGCTAATTAACACCTGGCATGTGTTGTTGATATTATTATTAATTAATACTTGGCATGTGTAACTGATATCATTAATGTTAATTCCTAATTGGTTATTTGAAACTGTTATTTGTACATTGCTGTATTGATTAGGTTTTAGCCTTTTCATGTACATGCACATGTAATACATTCATTAAATGCTATAGATGGTACATTGTGGCTGTATTACGTACAGATATTAATAATTATGTTTTATTTCCATAGGCTGACATTGCCTAGTTTGTTAGCCGAATATGGTATTGAAGTCCCAGAGAAGATACTTGTACCCCTCTCATCACAGGTTGTGTTCCCTGGGGAGACTGAAGAATACACACAGATAATGTGCAGTGACATCACACCCTCTGTCACTGGGGCATTCCGTCCTGGACATGACGTGTCATTAAAGCTAGGCACTAACGTTACACAATATCAAATCTCTAAACTAGTCCATGATCTTAATGAGCTTTTGTCCCCAATAAAAGACAATCTTGATTTGCTCATTTATTTCTTCCTTCACAAAAGCGCAATTTTTGATACTTATCTTCGTTACCAGTTGAGAAAGTACAGTGGGTTGCAGCCAGATGAATCTGTGCCTGTTTCAATGCAAAGCGTTGTATCTCGTGTTCGTTCAATGTCTGGAGCCTTCTTTAACTCAATTCGTAGGGGCAGTGAACCATTTAAAGGAATTTCTTGGCAGACGCTAGCTGAAGCACTAACTGCCACTAAAGAATTAGTGCTGAGGTTAGTTGAAGGTACTGCTCAATATAGTGAAGTTACTGCTGGAGGTAACCTGGCCCTGGAGAGAATGGATATAGAATTTGAGTTTAAAGTTTTGGTGGACTATACCAAATATCTTAATGGGGAACAGAGTAACTATGATGGTCTGAGGGGTATACAGTGCATGCTTGAGTTGTTCCAGTATACTCATCATATTAATAACGTTTATAATGTCTGTGAGCAGTATCACATGACTGGCTGTCTTGAAGATGAGAAGTTAATCGATATCAAGAAGATTGCCAACGAACTGAAGGAAGTATCTTGCCGTGACCAACTCACATCAAAAGATGCCATTGAGAAAGTTGAGAAGATAGTGTCTGCCCTGCGTCTTAAGAAACGTGGTCTGGGCTATGATAAGAGCTGTCTCCTTTTGTTCCCTGCCATTGCTGATAGCACTGTCTTCTACCAGTTCATTAAGGACAAGCAGTTTTATGGCGTTGATGGTCAAGAGGTGTTCAGACAGCAGTATGAGTTAATCACTGCTCAACTGCAGCATGAAGAGTACAATGAAATTGTGCTCAATCACCTTCTCATTGCCTTCCAGTACATGAGCCCTTTTGTTGACGATGCACAAGATTTTGAGCGGCTAATGAAAGATGTGCAGGCAATGAAGATATCCTCTGGCTGTCAAGAACTGGAAACAGTCAATAAGAACATTAACCTAGTGAAGCTCTGGTTCTCTAGGGCAGAAGAGGACACGCTGGAAATGGTTCCTGCTGAATTGGAGTCCATATTGTCTACTGGAGAGTATCTTTTTGTATTTGATTCTATACCTGACGGTGTTAAGGCTCAATTGTTTCTGGAGTATCAGCCACCTTCAGTCTCTCAGGCTGTTAATACTACTCCTGGTCGTCCTTCAATTGCTGAGATTGATCCTAATGAAAGCGTACTCTCTCATCGTGACTCTTTTGTTGATGAAATATCACGTTCCACTCCTTATCCTCGTGAGAGCTTCACGTCATCCCCTCCTCCTACTGCCTCCTCTCAGCTGAGACTCCAGAGATGGAACAGTGCACAGATACGTGATTTTGAACAACGTATCGGGTTTTTGGATTCTGAGCAAGACCTGAGTCAGAATATCAAGAAGTTTCTCATGTTTAATCAGAATGCTTACAAATTGCTTGAGCTCTATCAACGTCTTAATGACCTCGGTCATCCCCTCTATACTGAGCTGGAGCCACAGAGAAACATGAACAAGGAAGACCAGCCAAAGGTACCGTACATGTATTGTACATGATGTTTTGAGTAGACGTTGTCTTATGATTATTCTTTTATTCATAACAATAATTGTGATGACTGGCTGTATTGTTTTTGTGTAGGAGGTTCCTGTTCCTTTCAGAAGTCTATCCTGTTCATTCTCAGAAGAAATTGTGAAACAAAAAGTTAGTGCAGTACATGTACATGCATTCTTGATGTGTATGGATTATTTCTGAAAAATATTATCTGTTATTCTACTCATATATGCTTATCTTTTCAAGTGTTCTGTGTTTGTTAAAGGCTATAGTACATTTACTTTCTTTTATAAATAATTATAAATAATACTGCTATATGCTCTGTGTTGATTGTTTGTGTTATTTTAGGTTCAAGAGGCAGAAGGTGAACTCCAAGGATGGATGCTTGATGTTGATAACCTTCACGTTCAGTTCCATACACTGTTATTCTTCAGTATACCTAAATTGCGTCACATTCACAAACGATTAGTTGAAGGTCATATTGATAATATTGTTGGTGAGATTAGTTTCTTATTTAAGAATAATGTCATTGTCAGGGAAAAAATGAAATCCACTGTTAAGGTACACTGTGATGATTTTAGCTATAATGCATACACGTTGTACATACAGATGTCATGTCTTTTAACACGTACATTTAGCTTGTCAGTTATGTTTATCAATGTATGCATGTGGATCTTGATATACATGTATATTATAGATTTATATTTTAATCTGTTTTGTGTCAGTTTGTTTATTCTATATTTTCTTTTCCCCACAGTCTGTATTACCACGCATCAAGCCCCTCGTTGAGTCATGCACTGCTCCTATTAAAGTGGTTGGTACTTTTCTATTGCAATTATTTGAGCAAGACATGTCACGTTTTGCCCTCCAAACTCGCCATCCTTATCGGCAGTTACAGCGAACATTGTCAGCTCAATCTTCAACAGTTCTACACTCGTGTCATGGTCTGTCACCTGCTCAGCTAGTCTCTCTCATTATTAACTGCTATAATGGGGTTCCTGAATCATTCCAACTATTCCACTGTCAGGCTACTACTACATCGGACGAACTGAACCTCTTCCTTAAACGTGTTAATTACTATTCATTCCAATACATGATCATTGGAGTTGAGAGACTACCTTATCAGTTACAAGAGGTATAGAGTCAGAGACCATTATTCAGACGGATCAATTATTCCGGCAGCTGTGTTTTCAATAATACATTTGCAATGGCACTGGTGTTTGTCAGAATTATAGAACTATACCTTCTGTGCCTGAGTTCCAAATCCTAGTTTGGTATCTTGTAAGGGAAGGGAGTTATAAAGGAATGACTTCAGTTGTCCATAGATTGCAGTTTTCAGTAGATTTACTCAGTCTCCAGATACAGCTGGAAGCAAGAGAGATAAGATCCAATCTCTCACAAACAAATAGCTCTAAGTCTACCTCATTGTAGGTACACAAGACTTAATGTTCTAGTCTTTTAAAGATTTAAGCTTTAAGCTAAAAGAACAGTAGTAGCATGATCATATTCGGAACCAAATTTAAATTTTTTCTTTCGTATTTAGATAAAAATTTAAATTTTGTTTCGGTTATGATCACATCACTACTGCACTTTGAGCTTATTGTTTAAGTCTTCAAAAGGACTAGCACATGAAGTCTTGTGTATCTACAAAGAGATAGACTTAGAGCTATTTGTTTGTGATGAGGTTGGGTCTTACTCTCTTGCTTCCAGCTGTATCTGGAGACTGAGTAAATCTACTGAAAACTGCAATCTATGGACAACTGAAGTCATTCCTTTATAACTCCCTTTCCTTACAAGATACCAAACTAGGATTTGGAACACAGGCACAGAAGGTATAGTTCTATAATTCTGACAAACACCAGAGCCATTGCAAATGTATTATTGAAAATACAGCTGTCAGAATAATTGATTTGTCTGAATAATGGTCTCTGACTCTAATAGTATAACAAGTATTCACACATGAATACATTTGTGTAAGTGCATGTGTAAATAGCTAATGTTTCTTTGTTAACAGATAGTACATAATGATACAATAATAATTGCGCATATTTTTTGCAGTCATTGCTGCAGTTTCAGATTAAATCAAGACCATCAATGTTAGCTAATGAGCAAGGGGCATCACTTCATTTTGTTGAAACTGGCCCATCAATATTAAGAGAAATGCCATGGATAATGGTCAAAGATCATAAGGTACATGCAGTGATTTGTTGTTCATTATACTTTTTATTTCATTTTAAAATGTTGTTTTAATATCCATGTATTTATTGTAGTATACTAAAATTTTTAATACTTTAGGACGGAGTGTCTCTGAATTATGACCGAGCTAAGAAGCTATGCCGTCAAAGCCTGATGGCTTTTGAAGACTTTCAATGCATTACACTAGTGTATGGTCATGCTGGTGAGTGGAATATGTGTGGTGTGAATACATTATATAATGGTTTGTTAACAGGTGATGGTAAATCTCATTTCATAAAGACTCGTCTGAGGAATCGTTTACCACACATGGTTCTGCATATCCCAATAAATGAAGCGTTCACTCCATTATCTGCCATCAAGAAGCTACAGACTCTACCAATGGACACCAGAGGATGTTGCATATACTTCAACTTTACTGTACTCTCTCCTTCTGTGAGCATATTATTAAGTATAATCTACATGTACTATTCTGTATGTTGGTACTCAGATTCATGTGTATAATGCTAAATTTGAATTTTATAAATAAACTGTTGTGCTATTTCAACCTAATTACTATTTATTTTGCAGGAGGCATCTTCAGGTCATGTTGATGAACGTCAACAGTATAATGACTTAATGAAGACAGTTAATTGGTTTTTCTTTGATTTACTAGTCCTTGGGTATGTTGAGGATCCTACTACTGGAGAATCATTCCGTTTCCCTGGTGGCCTCTCATGGGGTGTCTTTATTGAAGTATGCATGATTATAGTCCCTTAATTTATTGACTTTCGTAATTATAATTTTAGGTACCGTCTTGTAGAGCTGACTCTGAGCCAAATCATAGTTTATCACAGTTCCTAGAGCATGTTCCTGTGTTGGGATTAGTTGGCAATAAAGAATATGTTGAGCCCAAGAGACAGTATCATATTGATGATGAAGTTCAGTTGGTGTGCAAGTATCTTAAAGCTTTTCAAACGTTTGAAGAAACTGGCAAGAATGGCATTAACAAACTGTACAAAGAATGTGAGTTTATGACACACTTCACTTGGTTCATGTGCATTACATTGCATGCATGTTACATGAAGGTAGTTATCAATAACAAATGACAGCCATGTATATGTACATGTACATGTAGCCAGTCTATATTCTACATGTATGTGTACAGTTCATGTACATCTAAATGTGACATTTATAGTGTTATGGCTTCCTTTGTTCTTTTAGCTCATCGTAAAGGAAAGACAGCTCCTCTTGTTAAGTTTAGTGAAGACCCTGACCTAGGCAAGGACGAGTGTGTTGGACTGTTGGACAGATACACACCTGAACACATGAAATATAATAAGACAACTCAGAAACTATTTGTCAGGTACATCTGCAATTCTGCATTAGTAGCAAATTATAGTCACATACATGTACAAGTAGTGTATACATGTACATTGCATTGAACTTCATCTTACACCGTAACTGTACTTCTGTCATTGCGTATTGGTTCATGTACACTGTACATGTACTTTAATTACCTGTAAATTTGTGTGCATGTAGTTATCATTTTGACCTGCATTTTTGTTTAGCTATATGATGCGTCGTTGCCATTTCTTGGATAACTTGCCAGCTTACAATTACAATACTGGTGGTACTGAGATGATAACTACTGCCAAAGGGAAGAAAATACCAAACAACACTCATCAACTGGGATCAACACTGATGAAGAGTTTCTTAAAAGAAGTTAGTGAATTCTGTGATCCTGATGGACAAGCTGACTGGTCTAAGAAACCACATGAACAAGTAAGGGAATACAGTATGTACATGTACTATGCATGCACAACTATTTACCTTATTTGATATTTATGTGCTACATGTATGCCTGTTCCAACTTGCTGTTTCTCTTTCACACTATATGTGTGTATTTCTATGATATTGGGATGTATCATATACATGTACATGTACTGTACCTATACTGTGTTTATTATTTTCTGTTCTCTTTAGTTAATCTATGATACTGTTGATGGTGGATCAAGTATTGGTTTAATATCTTTGAGAAGTGAGAAGCTTCGCGAGGAAGAACAATCAAACTATGAAAAGATTGGAATACAAATACCATCAATCATGTAAGTGGCCTAAGGGTAGGAGAGTGAAAGAGACTGTAGAGAGTGTATAGAGGCATGTACATAATGTAGAAGATGTAGTAGAAGCTGTAAAGAGTAAAAGGATAAAGGAGAGAATGTACTGTTATTTGACAATGAATTATTATTGTTCATTATTGTGAAATTGTTTGTCATGTACATGTGTATAGGGACATGCATTCAAGAGCATGGCTTGATGATTATTTGTCACGTGCTCTTACTGTTCCTTTGGATGATAACGGGAGACTAAAGATCATTGATGAGTCATCATATGTACTGACACTTGACTATACACTGAAGATGTTGAATGTTCATGAGCGTCATGAGTGTGGCATGCCTGTAATTATTGAAGGAGAGACAGGTGTGGGTAAGACTGCACTGATTGAGGTTCTTTCCAAGCTGTGGAACTCTGCTCATCTTAATGAATGGAGCAAGACTCGGGATACATTATTAGACTTCATGCAGAGAAAAATGGATGGTAAGTTTTGTTTGTACAATAATACAATAGCTATTTGCCATCCCTTTATAGAAGTGAACACACATGTACATGTGTGCCTTTTATTTATACTTTTTGTTTCAAGCCTCATTTTGTATTTTTTTCTGAAAACATGCAGTGTAGTGCTATTTGTTTACACAAATATAATTGTGGCTAATTGAAGCAATTGTCAAAAGTTTAACCAATTAAGATTTTTTGGCTTTGATACCATTGACCATAAAGTGACTTCATAAGTTATGTCATATGGTAGCAATTAATTTAAACAAATGTAATTGCATTCCATATCTTATGTTAATAATATAACTTTTATTTAATTGTTTGTACGTATAGATTTAATTGAAACCTCGCCAGATCACAAAGCTGCTTGCCTGGATGTCATTAGTAATTTAAGTCAATCCGATGGAGGATTAACTGAAGAAGATCTCGTCATGATAACCGAATTACCTGATTCACATAGTCCATCAGCTCAGTTTCATTCTGTATTGCTCAAGGAAATGATGAAGTTGAAAGACGACCCTGTTCTGGCTTTGCTTGAGTTGCCTGATTCAGAGAATAAGAAAAGCTTCAATTACTTGTTCAGAAATGCAGAATATAAGAACAATGCTAAGGTACATATGCACTGTGTGTGTGAGTGTGTGTGTGTACATGTACATGTACATGCATGCATATATCAGTATATTCTGTACTAATTATGATGAACAATGACACTTCATTTTCATTGCTTACAGGCTACTGCAGAACTTCTCCATGGACTGTTCACTGCCAGTGTCAAGACCACTTTCCACAAGCTCAATGTTCATGCTGGTTAGTTAGTATAATGTTGTCATATTTATCTTTATATTCCCTATACAGCATTGAAACCAGCAGATATTATGCTGTTCTTTAAAGAAGTGTCTAATCAAGCATATGAGATTGAAGATGCTTATAGCAAAAGCAAAGGAAGTGGTACTAGTTCAACAAGGATACCAGCAGTCACTGTATTCCTTGATGAGATCAATACTGCATCATGTCTTGGACTACTGAAAGAAATTATTGTCGACAGGAGCATTGATGGAACTGTAAGTTAATGTAACTCAGTGAATATACAGTACATGTATTGTACATGAATGTGGAATATTAACATAGTGCAGGTACACTTACATGTACATGTACATGTACTGGTACATGTTGTGATGCATACGTCACTGCAAAACCTATTTATTTATTTTTATTTTATATACATGTAGGTCATCCCATCTAATGTGTTTATTATTGGTGCCTGTAATCCTCATCGTGGTGACAGTCTAGCAGTAACTGCTCAGGACGAGTCATGGATCCGCAGTAATTATTATGTACGTGTTCTACACCCAACACTTGATCTGATCAAGTGGGACTATGGATCACTGGATGAGTACCAGGAACGTGACTACATTAATGCTAAACTACGCCTCATGCATCAAGATATGGAGAATTTGGAGTTAGCATCACTTGCTGAATTGATCATTACTAGTCAGAACAAGATGAGAGCTCTTGCTTATAGTCAGTTGAGGAGTCTTAAAGTTGATGAGATTAATGCATCAATCTGTTCCAAGAGTTCGGTCAGTCAAAGAGACATACAACGTGTCTTTACATTCTATGAGTGGCTCATGAAGCTGTATAATAAACTGAAACCACACGGTCCTAATGAAGATTACCATCGCACAGCCATCATGGTCTCACTCTCACTGGTTTATTACATGCGCCTTAATGACAAGTACAGAGAAAGCTATCGGGAAATGATTGACAAGTCTGGCCATTTATCTGGTAGTAAACCATTTGCTGACGTATTTCAGAGAGAAATTGACTGGTACATTGATAACATGTACATACCTCATGGTATCGCTAAGACTCAGGCTCTGAAAGAGAATATCTTTGGTATTATATTGTGCACAATGACACACACTCCTCTCATTATAGTTGGCCCTCCTGGCTGCTCCAAAACTCTATCATTTAATCTTGTCACATCTAATCTCCGTGGTCAGGAATCACGCGTTAAGCTCTTCCGTGAGACTGATCTCTTCCATTCTCTGGATCCTCATTACTATCAGTGCTCTCGCAGGACCACTTCTAACGAGATACAAACAGTTTTCTCTCGTTCAATCAATCGCCAGCGTACCTATGCATCAGTACCATTACCCATACATTGTGTGGTGTTTATGGACGAAGCTGGTCTACCTGAAGAGAGTCTGGAGTCATTGAAAGTGTTGCATTATCATTTAGATAGACGAGAGGTCTCTTTTGTAGCTATATCCAATCACATGCTTGATGCTTCTAAGACAAACAGAGCTGTCTCTCTGTTCCGTTCCGAGCCATCAGTTGAAGAGCTCTGTGTGTTAGCTAAAGGATGCTTGTGTGACACTCCTGATGATCCTCCTCCTGAACTTAAGAAAGACATTGACCTCATTGTTAAGTTCTGCCCTCTCTATCACAAGTTTATGGAGAGGAGCGAGTTCAGACGTTTCTATGGTCTAAGAGACTTCATTCATTTTATCAATTTCCTCAAGAGGAAGAGAGGAAAGAAAGGAATCACCGATACAGTTGTCATGCATGCACTCGAGAGAAACTTCAATGGACACAAAATGTTTGATCAAATTGCCAGGGAATTCCTCGGAGTGGTAAGTGATACAAATATTGATGAAATGTTGAACTGAAATTTGAGCATTTGTTCATTTAAATATTTTGTGTTGCATTTATATGACCCGTAACAGATAAATAATAATACACTATTGATCTAATTTTTTATAGATGGGTCCAAATGCTGTACAGCATGTAACTCATCACAGTATACTTGAGATACTCTATGATAGCATTAAGGATCAGCCTCAGTTACGTTCTGAAGATAATGAAGTTCGTTATAAGCTAGTCATTGACTCAAGTGAAGACAACTCTCTTCTACGCCTTCTATTTGCCTTTGGTGTTCTCAAAGAGAAAGATACTAGAACCTACATGTGCAGTGATTTCCCTGGGGACTCTCACCAGCAAACTGTGAGTATTACCCACTTGTAAATGTACATTGTACAAGTGCTTGTAGCCACTAACCTATTGTGAGTAGAATCACGATATCCCATTTTCTGTGGTTTAATTTACACTTTTATTATTACACAGATGTATAGTAATTCAAACTTGATTGTGTGTGAAAAGGCTTTGTATACGTTACATGTACATGTACATGTGTACTATTGTTATTAGTAAAAGTCACTGCTCATGTGCTACTTGTTATGCACACACATGTACATTTAGATCAATACAATTGCTGCCATACGTCATTCTGCTGCTGCTGGTCACACCGTCATTATGAGTCAGACTGATGAACTACATGAAAGTTTTTATGATCTCTTTAATCAACGGTTCCGCCGTATTGATGACCCTAAGACTGGTCCCAGGTTTTATGCCAACATAGCCATTGGTGCTCATCACAAGCCTTGCAGAGTGCACCCAGGATTCCAGTGTGTGGTGGTAGTTAAAGCATCTGAAGTTGATGATATACCACATCCATTCCTTAATCGCTTTGAAAAGTATTCATTGACTCACAAAACCTTACTTGATGCTGTACTGAGGAAACAACCATCCTATCTGAGATCAGTTATACAGAGAGCTTATGAGAAGGTAATGTTCATGTACAGTATACATACATGTTTGTATGCATATGTACATGCATGTATATACTACATAAACTGTACTGGTACATGGTTTTTTGTACATGCATGCATGTACATGTACTTGTATGATTTTTATGTATGTACCTTTATATCCAAATTCATGTGCCATTTGTTTATTATTATTATTTGTTTATTATTACTATTACTTTTTGTTGTTATTATTAGGCTACTGAGTTTGTTGATCATGTTGATGGTCTGAGCAGTTTGTATGGTTTCCACGATGACACACTAGACTCTCTTGTATTGAGTATCCTACCTCCTGTTGGATTTCAAGAATTCCTTGAAACTGATAAGCCAAAGAAACCAGAAGTCATTCCTCAAGATATATCACCTGATGTGTTCTTAGTCAAAAGATTATTGAGAGCTTTAAGAAAGAGAGCTGGATTCAGAATACCTCATGTAAGTGTACGCTATAGCCACCAGGTACTGGATCAACGACCATGGTTTAATTAATTTTGAAGTAATTTTTGTGAACCTATGACGGCCACAAAATTACTGCCCTTGACTGTACTGTGATTTATGATATTTTTCATTCTACAGTTTACCAGAGAAGAATTATTGGGTGATGTTGAGCATGTTATGCAGCTTGTATCACGTGACTCTCAATTTGCTGGTCAACTGTCTTCAATAACTAATGAAGAAGTATTAGTTGCTGTCCCTGAGGCTCTTCAAGGTCTTTATCACTCAAAGAAAGGAGGCAGAACTGATCTCTCTATTAACGCTTGCATGGTGATATCAGGTAATAGCTTAATACAATAATATCCTAATAATAATTAATGTATTTTTTCTAGTATTCCTTCAATGGCTGGTACGCCATTTGTGTAAAAGGTTAATGCAACTTATGACCACTGAGGCACTGACTGCAAGATATCGGTCATTGCCTCATCCTTACACTGAGAGCTACTTGAAGCATCAGAGCCACTTTAATTTACATGCACTCATTGATAAGCAGCTTCAAGTGATGGATCTTGATGACAGGACTGACAGGTACTGTACTAATGTATTATTTGATTTGTTGGACTCAGGGTTTCCCGCAAAGCATGCTAAGTGAGCTAAACAGCATGCTTCATGAGCTGACAAGGACTAGCTACAATACGTACATCTATGTACAGTGTACATGGCATTTGGAGCAACTTTAAACATTCATTAAAAATCCAATTTTTATCAGAATAAGCTTAACGTTGTTATACATGTACATGTACAGCATAAGGATGTGTGCATGTATATAAAAAATTGTAAAAGTGGAGAATTCTCTCTCATGCACAAGTTTATCTGCTATAGCAAAGGGTCTTCGACTCTTTGTCCAATTTTTGAACAATTTGACAATCCACTAACAAGAAACTACATGAGCAGTGAGCACTATGAAATACTGTGGGAAACCCTGGCTGAAGTTGTCCTGTGATGTTAGGTTGACGATAATATTATTTGTCATTTTATTAATAATGTTGCTGTTTCTGTGTATCATTATTACTTTTGTGTGTCTGCATCATGTCATTAATTTTTTAGGTCAACGACTGGTACAGCTAATCGTTTATTAATATTTACTCGCTCATCAGCACTCATTCACCAGCTACCACCACGCTATCCTGTCACTGGAAGCTCATCCCAGCTCTCTGGGGATTGTGATGATCTTATACGTAATCTTGTCTACTACTATACTGAAGATGTTGCTGTATGTAAGCTCTCAAGTATAACGTCTCAAGCTAGCATGAATGATGTTCTTAACTCATTTTGGCTTTCCAAGAAGCAAAGAGTGATGCTTTTAGTTGCTAACATGAAAGAGACTTCCGCTGAAATGATCAGCCATTTACGTGTTATGATTGAAGAGAATGATACCGGAGAGAAGCTCAAACTCTTTGTTGTTCTACTCCACTTCCCTCCCTCAATGTTCACCACTCCTTGCTATCCTGCTCTATTCAGTAACACATGGGATCATCACTACCTTGACATCATTGGACAAAACACTACAGGACAGGTCATGGATATTTGTGAATGGCTTTCTCTTTGTTGCAGTTACCTTAAGACTCATCACAGTTCTGAGAAGCGTGTATCAATGCACCTTTCTTCTCTTCTCTCTGAGGCTATACCAACCATATCTTCTCGTGTGTTCTTTGGTAAAGTGGAAGATGCTCCGTTCAATTGCCTGATGGATGCTCCTAAACGCAATAGAGCAATACAGGCCCTCTTTGATACTGGAGTTGGTAAGATATTGTGTGATAAGTTTCTCAAGTACTGGGAGCCTGGTGTTATGCTGGAGTATCTTGAAAAAGCAGCAGCTCAGACCACAGCAATACAGACCAGTACACTGAGCATTACTGACTCAGTCCAACGCCTGCTGCGTGATACGTTCTTTGATTATATTGTATATATGATATCTAAGATGAACGAAGATATGAACATTGATATATTAATGGATCCTGACTGCTCTGAGTACACACGTGAGCTATTCTTATCACTCTTGAAGTCATATCCTATGCCTAAGCTATCGCAGCTGAAGACACTCAGTAGTTTTGAGCATAGCATCTCTAGTTTAGAGTCATCACAACGTACACTTTATGTGCCAAAATTTCCTTTCTATCGTATGGTATCATCAGTTGTTGAGAAAATCATCGACCAGACGAGAAAAGAGATAAATCAGCGTTTGGACACTCTGCATGAGTTTCCTGATCCTATCTTTTCTATCTCACAGATGAGTATTACTTCACTCCCTAAAGTTATTGAAGATAAGAGTCACCTTGTCATTAGCATGCAGCATGCTGTTGAAACTATGGTTAAACAAATACTTGAGGTAAAGCTTTAATTATAAAATTTTCTTACTATTTTTGTACGAGAATATGTATTGTATGTAAATGTTTATATTTTATGTTTAATGCTCTAATTACTTTATTATTTTCCTTATAGTCAAGTCATGACAGCCCTCTTAAGATTGCGTTACAAGCTATGATGAAGGAGCCAAAACTCATGAAAGACTACAGTGAAGCATTTACACACCAAAAGTTACGTCTTGGGTCTAGCACTGCTGGTATTAGCTATCGTATATTGCGATTGACCTTCACTCAACTGCATCCTAATCAAGAACTACTCACTCGTCTTGTTCTGCTTCATGTGTGCATGCATGTCTATCAGTTAGACCTATCAAGACTCGTGCAGGTGTTGCGTCCAATCGATGCCCTGTTAGATATGGCAGCTACAGTAACTGATGATCCATTTGCAGAGACTCATCCTTCACCCACTGCATCCTTCCTGTCAGCTGTGCAACAGAGTGGGGACCTCTTAGGTCAACCTGGTGACCTCAGCAAGTATGTATTGAGGATATTGTTTAGCGCCTTGGCTGGTTCAATGCTGGATCAAGCAAATGAAGATAATGTTATACTTTGGTATGAAGTTTACAGGGATGTGGTGAGTAAAAATACTTTGTTTTATAATTTACTTTAATATATTATTATGGTATGATTTTTTGTTAGATGTCAATGTCTGCTGTGAAGGATTATTTGTACAAGAATTTGAGTGAGCTGTCAGCTACACAACATAATATAATGCAGGCAACATTCCTGGTCATACAAGGAAGTCATGGATACGATGAAAAGGAATCATTTTTGAGTGCTGTTAAAATATTTAATGCTCTTTTTAGTACACATCTTACTGAAAGAATGGAAGTATGTGTATTTCATTTATATGCATGTATTTATATGCATGTCACTACTAAGTATAATAGTGATCCATTGGTCACTTGTGCTTTAATGTCTATGTTACTGTTCTTTTATAGATGAAAACTGAGGTGTCTCCAAGACTGAAAGACGTTGTTGAAGTCATTATTGAAGAGTTGACTGGATCTAGTGTTGAGGTTGCCTTACAAGATCAGAATACACAGCTCAGAAGGATATTAGAGGGCCTCTTCAACCACTACTTCTCAATGCATCTACCTGTTCATAATGCTAAGGACATTCAATGGTTCCTTGAGATGGTCAACAAGAATGCACACTGGAAAATAAAGAGCCTACCAGCGACAGGTAAAGTGAGCAGTGATGCTACTCTGTCTCTCTCAACTGAGGAGCCTGAGAATCTTGGTTGCATTTCAATGTCAGTTTATCATTACTATCTAACAATAATATTGGATAAAGCTGATGTCAGTAATGTTGGTACCACATCTATGACTACATTAACACTTTATAAACCATGGGTAAGTCATAATATTTTGATGCGGCTGTACATGTACATGTACATGTAAATGTATGTAAGCTTAGATTTTGTATCAGAAATTATTTTACCGTGAAGAATTTGGCAGAAATTTTACTTAAAATTTGCTATGCATTGTAAAAATTTTACACAATGTATCTTATTGTTTATTTTTATGTAATAAGTTTATTTATGCATGTACAATGTAGGTACGTGAGATAGTGGGTACAGTACTAGTGAATGATGCTCCAGCTTCAAGTACTCCTGGACCTTACATTCCAACATTTTATCAATCAACATCTGGCATCAAGTGCCCTACTCAAGCTAACGTATGCAGTTACCCTAAAATTATTATTTATGGTTATTATATTTTTTTATTATTCTTTAGAATAAATTAATGCAGCAGCCTTTAGCTCACTTGTACTTTTTGACTGTTCTTCGTCATTTGTTAAGCAATGATTTTGGCTTGACTGGTTTGGTTAGAGTAGCCAGTGCTATCTCAGAGGTAATACATTACGTTAATTTGTAGTTGTACTAACTGAATGTGTATATTTATAGAATCTTGAGGAGGATACAAAGACCCATGACAAAGTACTTCATAATATTGAGAAGCAAGCTGTTGTTCAAGCAGCCATTCAACAATTAGCAAAATGTTTGAATCCAAATAATCCAAGTGGTGTTGGAACTGTAAGTATTTTAATTTTAATTTGACATTTTAATAGAGACGCTGATAGTGTAAAATACTTAACATTATGTAAATTTTGGAATATTTTAGGTTAAAAGGGATAGTCTACATGTACATATATGCATGTACTTTTGCTTTCTCCTTTTATACAGTGTAAATGGCTTTAATGAACTTTATCTTGCTAATTCATTTGTGCACTGTACATGTATGTACACTTTGAAGCATTCATGATAGAACTTCACTCAAGTATTGTATTTTTGATCTTATGGTGTACGACTAGTTTGTAAAGTAACTATCCTATTTTCATTTGAAGATACATTTTATGCTATTTTCATTTTTATTTACTTTTTATTATTTGTTTTTACCACAGGTTGCAACAATTATGAGTGATATTAATCATTTATTGGATGACGAGAGTTTAGGAGGTGGAAATATCGGAGGACATGGCCTAGCACTCTCTCTTTGTCTATTGAAGGAGCTCTCTAGTTACAAAGCATTCACTGATCTACTGGGACCCAACTCATTTTGTAAAGATTTCAATGTTCTAGTCCAATTGAGTACTAAAATAGAACTGCCTGAAGAAGAGCATCTCTTCCCATTTCTTGTGTCAGTAGGAAAGGGAAATGTACTCAAAGACTTGTACGATCGTGTTGGACGAGCAATGATTACTGTTCATAATAGTGGAGGCCGTAAAGTAGCTCCTCTTACTTCAATAGCACAAGAATGGTTAGTCATATACATGTATATGTGAAAGGTTGTAACTTATAAGCCAAATTATGACATTACGTCATTGTGTTTTGGTGAACATTCATCAATTCATTATGATGATTTTGGCAGTGACCCCTATTTGTTTTTATCAATTTGTAATCACTAAATTTTAGGAGTCAGGGTCAAGTATCAATATCTCTTCCTGATGGTCATGAAGTGCAAGGAGAGAAGTCAAGTATTCTTAGAATGGTTTTGTGGTTGAATACTTATTACAAGTTCTATTGCCAGAAGGTTAGAATTAACTCATACTATTCATATTATAAAAATGTTATAATCATTTATAATTAGAAAACTTCTACTGTATTGATTGACGTTATGAGTGATCAGTTATTGTATGCAGTTCAGCCAGCTCCTCTTAATAATTTAATCTGTTGTTTCTTGGACCCTAATAAAATGATAAGAGAAGCGACACTGGATAGCGACTCATCATCTTATGATGATCCAATACATGCTTTCTTTAATCCAGATACCAAAGATAACAGTAAGTTTCTGCATTGTATTTCTTCCTCCATTATTCTCTTTTTTCTACTTTGCTTAGGTCGTAGTGATATTTCACTGCGTCATGCCATAGCTAATCTGATTGCTGTTGTGGTTGCTGCTCCAACTAGCAGCACTCACTTGTGGTATCACATGTTTGCATCTGATCAGCTCTCTCATACACATATTGCTGGATCCATGGTAATAGAATATTGCAAATGTACATGTATTACTTGTTTGATAATGTAATGTACATGTACATGTACATGTATGTGTAATGACTAATGACCATGCAGGCCTGGTAATGACATTTTTGTGTTTTTTATTAGCTTGAGACTCCAGTTGGCCAGAATGGTTTATTTTATGATGCTGGAGTTCAGTTGACTCCTAATGGTTTGTATGGACAGCAGAGTTATTTGAAACATGCTACAAGAGGTACTCTAAGCCTCCAGTCACTCTATCTTCTCTTGTGGGCTAATGCTGGCTCATTTTGTGTTGGACTGTTAACTGATTCATCAGCCGAAGATAAGATGAAAGGATCTGTGTTCCCTGAAGACCTGTCTATACGTAGTTTCTGCATGAAACAGTTGAAATCATTGTGGGCACATTTGTCTGATAGTATGGGGATATCTGTTGAAGAGAGATCTTTCTTAGTCAGCAGGTCAATGTGGAATCTACTAAAAGTAATTAAGTCACTGTAGAAATTTATTGTTTGATGAAATACATAATGTACACTGTATATTTTCATATTAGTTTGCTTGTGGTAATGGTAAAATGCTTGCTGGAAGGTTTCCTAATATAACTCCTCTCAATAATTATGAATCAACTTGGTACAATGATATATTTATGCCAGTTTGGAACACACTTAAAGATGAATACTGTACCTACTCTCATTTGAATGATCACGAGATATTTAAACACATCAAGTAAGATTTATTATAGATGTACATTATGGCTTGATGTTAATGCTACTATAGGGATCTGGAGTGTTATTATCCTTGCTTTACTAATGAATCAGCACTCCTTCAGTCTCTTCTCTCAAACACTAATATTGGTGATTATATTTCAAGCACTGAGCATCTACTAGCACAGTTGGTTCTACAGAGGAATGTATTAGAGATGGGTGGGATGCTACTGACTGATCTTGTTGAATTGTACCAGTGGCTCCATCAAGAATTGGCTCATGTTGTTACTCAAAGTGATGCTGAAACCATCCCTGTATCACGTGCTGTGCGTGTACTAGCTAAAAGCTATTCACCTGAGGAAGGAGAGAGACTCCAGAACCTGTATAAGCGACTAAGAGGTACATGTATATACAATACAAGATGATTTATTGCTACAAATTACATGTATATTTAATGTTGGTATTTAGTGAAAAAAATCCCGAAATAGAATATGCAATTTATTATAATCTTAGCATGCTCAATGAAACATTGCACAAAATTGCCAATAGGAATTCCTCGTTTCGTGTCATTTGCCAATAAATACCCCATACCATAATGTTGAATAATCAATATTATTTTATGATCTTTTGTTATTAGATTGTTATAATCAGTATCAGGACATGAAAGGCAATAATGGTTCATGCTTGCAGGACACAACCCCTCTTTGTCACGTATTGTCTTATTCTACTGATGGTGTCAATGGACCTGATCTTCTTTATGTGATAATCAGTGACATTGTGAGTATTATTGTTATACTTGTATATTGTTTTATTACAAACTATTATAGATCACAACACATAATAACTTCCTAATGAGGGCTGAGAGTATTGTTCGTTCTGATACCGAATCATCTCTTGCACGTTATTTGCCAAAAGAACTTCCACGTGTTCATCCAACCGAATTCACAGATCAAAACTGTATTGTTGAAAAATCATCAAGGTATTAATATTTTATGGACAAATTCATTGTGTTACTATCTTTCTTAGTCTTCATGGTCTTTCCGAGTTTGAACAGCTCATTGGCAGTCGTTCAACTCTTCCGTCACCATTGTACAACTTAACTGGTTGCCATACATCCTTACCTTGCTGGCAGCCTAGCCTCATCAATCTCCAGCAACTCCAGGAGGATGTATTTTCCACTCATGTAGCTGGTAAACCATTGATCGGACCACCTCAGAGTCTTCGTGCTAACTTTGCTTTCAGAGATGCCTATCACACTAAAGAAAAGTAATTGTTCATGTTCGCACATTACATTTCCATTCATGTAAATGGGGTAAAATGAGAATATGATTATTAGTTTTAATGTTTCAAATTTATGTACTTGCATGTGCCTATACTTACAAAGGTATAATCCTTCTAATTCTAAAGAATGTTAATAATGTATACATGTTGTTCTATTTTTAGTCTGTCTGCTATTGAAGCTGATTTAGAAACCATCACGTCAAAACTGCTTGATGAATTCAAGGTAGTAATTTGTTATGAATAATATGAATGAATACATAATCTTTTGTTATTATTAGTGTCCAATGGATGAAAACACAATTAAAGTATTAGAGCATCAGTTCCACAATTCTCCTTATCACATCATTATGGAAACTGTCTCTGGACTGAGGGGTGTTGCTGGGCACTTAATTAAAGTAACTAATGATTTTTAAATACTAATTTTATTTTGAATTCTTTTATAGAAATTAATGGGGATTAGTCAGAGTGACTTGGTGGAGCTTAATGATTATAGTGTTGCTGATTTCTTGTCTTCTGTTTTTGAAACTCGTGAGCCACTGAAGAGCATTACTGGTAGCAAGAAGAGTATATTTCACGAGATTGCTATTCATAAGTAAGAAAAGAGAGAGAGAACAGGGCACAAAAATTTAAATCATTTTATGTAGTTTAACTGTGAATCAGTTTGCTGCACTGGAGAATCTTCACTTGTGTCATCTTCACGATGCCCTCAGATGGTTTGTTGTGTGGGTCAGTCAAGGCTGGTATGAATTCTGCTCTCTGCCTTATGCTACAAAAATAAGACTCAGTCAACCTGATGTGGAAGCTCTCAATACACTCCCTGATCATTATACAGGTATTAGAAAATCAATGCACATGTACATTAACAGTGCCTAATATTGTATTGTAGAATCAATGGAACAGCTATTGAAACATTTGAGATCATTGGTTATGGTATTAAGCCACTTTGAATCAACATCTACTATAACTTCAATGGCACTCAAAGATGCACAAGTGAGCAATGCTCTATATTTGTTTCTTTTTTATAATGATAATAAATTTTTTGAAGATGTCTATTGTTGATTTACTGTCACGCCTTGGTGAGTGTCGTGAGCAAGAGGATCTCTTACAACTTATACCAGAAAGCATACTCCTCCAAAATTATGTTCATTTCCGTGTTGTTCTTAAAAAGTATGTGGTACCTTGTTTCCTTTATTTTATAAAATTGTCATAAATAAATAGGTTGATAACAGACCTTCAAAAGAAACTTTCAAGTGAAAGCCTCTCTATTGTACCACACAAAAAGAGCTGGGAAGATTTTGTTGATGATCTTTGGAAGAATAATCTGACCCAATTCCGTCATGGAAACTTCTCTTATGCAGTAGTGTCAACTGCTGATCAGAAGAGGCGTGTATATTCTTTACGTAACATTGACAGAAATGATGAGGATCTTCTTAATGATTTAATGAATGCTGGGGTGTCTGAAACTAATCTCTTACCTGATACTGATGTAGATGAATCAAGCTCACGTTCTCCATCTCTAAACTCAAGACTCTCGCAGCCATCAGTTGTTTATACTGGACGTGATGATGCTGACGATATGGAAAGTTCTATAGCTACATCACTATCAACTAACCAAGGTAAAAGAAAAAATGTAAAACATTAAGTGGTTCCTGCCAGTCATGCCCAGATGCACATGCATGTATACACTGTACATAATAAATGCTTTGCCAGAGTGAGCTTTGCCAATGATATGAAGTAAAACCTGTTCCTTTAATTATAAGTTGTCATACATGTAGATGTCTATGTGTGATAAAAAATCAAAATAATTTGCATTTCATTGGTTATGATGTTGCATTATCTTAAGTCCACAATGAATTATTAAAGCAATTTTGTATAATTACTTTTATTTATACTTGCAGGCACAACTCGAATAAAGAGGCTGTCACAGTCCTTTACTAGTGAAAAAGTTTGCGAATTCCTTGACGAGATTGGACTGAAAATGTATGTGCCTCAGTTTGAAGAATATGGTATCACTGGTGAGGTATTACTTGGTGCTGAACAAGGAAAGGGATTGGAAGATCTTGGTGTCGATAATCCACTTCATCGTTTAAAAATTTGTGTTCTCTTCCGTCGTAAACTTGATGGGGTAAGCAAGATTGCTAAGAGGTATCCTGTTGAGGAAGTGGTCAGGTTCTTGCATTCAATAAAGATGAGTGAGCATGTTCAGAAATTTGAAGAAAACAACATTGACGGAGAGTTACTCATTGAAGCTACACATGATGCTCTAGCATGTCTTGGTGTTACTAAGCAGATACAACGTATAACTATTATGACTAATTTTAAGAATTACATTTTGCCTCGTTCTACAACTTTGTAGAAAGAGAAACTGCTGGTAATGAAAACTATTAATTAAAATAATTATTAAGTATTGTAATTACATTAGCTATACTTGTCTCACACTGTAAAGTTGGTTATTGATTATTTTGCTAATTATTATATCTTTTATATCTAATGATCATTTATTAAGTTTATGAACAGTTTGCGGAAGCAACTGATGCTGTGGCAACTATGCATCATGCATGCCTGGTCAGTCCAGATCTACTAGTTATAGGCTTAGAAAATGAAGCAATAGTAGTTCATGCATATAGGTATTCAAGCAGTGTATACAGCCTATATAAAGTGTAAGGGAGGCTGTTCCAACTGACACTGTGACAAGGCTACTCTACTGGTAAAAAATTTGATTTTTATAGTGATCAAATTGCCAATAAAGCATTCTAAAAATAGCACGAAGCTAAGCTATCCTATTTTTAGTAACACCGGATTTTATATAATGTTGCATTGGCTGCAATCCAAGCAAGCAAGAAGAAGTTAAACCAAAAAGTTAGAAACTCCTAGCTAAAACTAAAAATGCAGACTATTAAGTGTGTTGTTGTTGGAGATGGAGCAGTTGGAAAGACCTGTCTTCTAATAAGTTACACTACAGATGCCTTTCCAGGGGAATATATTCCTACTGTTTTTGACAATTATTCTGCTAATGTTATGATTGATGGAAGACCAATCAACCTAGGTCTTTGGGATACAGCAGGTATTATTAATTAATGTTATATCTATTTAATTTTGGAAATTTATGATAGGTCAGGAAGACTACGATCGATTGAGACCACTCTCATATCCTCAAACAGATGTTTTTTTAATTTGCTTTTCACTTGTTAGCCCAGCTTCATACCAGAATGTTAAAGCAAAGGTATTTGTAATAATATAAATAATAATATATTAATGCTATTATAATTATTCATAAAATTTACTGTATCTTTGGTGATCTTCCTATAGTGGCATCCTGAGATCACTCATCATTGCCCTAACATTCCAGTTATTCTTGTTGGCACAAAGCAAGATCTACGAGATGATAGAGAAACCATTGGAAAATTGAAAGAGAAGGGTTTCTCACCTGTTACTGCTACAGAAGGGCTGAAACTCCAAAGAGACATTGGTGCTGTGAAGTACTTGGAGTGCTCTGCACTCACTCAAAAAGGACTGAAGACGGTGTTCGACGAAGCCATTAGGGTTGTTCTAAAACCAGCAGCCATTACTAAAAAGAAGAGTGGTTGTCAGCTCCTTTAAACTTAAACAAAATTGTCTAAAATAATACTTTTTAATTTTGTATTACTAGTATTGTAACAATGTACTTGTATTATTGTGCACTGCATGAATCAACTATGATAACATTGTATAGTGAACAAAAATTCAACAGTTTTGAGAGTATGATGATGAAGTTTATAGTGTGATGGTGAGACATTCAAATTCTGCATTGCAATGTTAGGTCTAGTCTAGTACTGCAATAAGTGCATGACATAGTGCTAGATTATAGCTGATTTTGGTTATTCATGATTGCTTGATAAAGTCTAGTGTGGGAAGTCTGGTGGACGGAAGTGTCCTAATAATAATTTGAAAAGAAAGTCGGGCGGGGCTCACTTTTGCAGCAAAAAAATGCATCATCAAAGAGAGGAGAGAAAACTAGAGGAAAAATTGTTGTCTTTCTCACAAAGCTACTCATCTCTTCCCCGAATCGTAACTGACAGAGCCAGTGATGTTTGCAGTCGTTGGAAACTTACATTCCCTTCTCCTACTTATTACCTGCAAGTAAAAACTACAAAGAAAGAGAGAAAGCATCTTAAATATCCATCTATTAAAGGGCAGTATCATAATCATAAAACATCTCATGGCTACACATGCACAATGGGAGGCCATTTAAATAAAGACTCTGACTATGTTTATGAAGGAGGTTTGAGTTCAAGAGTGACAGCAGGGAATAGCACAGCATCTCTACCTCAGTTAAACCCACCTCCCAGGCAACAACCTTACAAAGTAACTCTTAAACCTCTGACACTGAATAAAAGAGCAGATAACAACATGACACAAATAGTAGATTCACAGCTGAAACCTGACATTCTGTATGAGCAAATGCTAATTGAACAAAATTTACAGACACTAAAATTACCCGATCGTCGTTTCCCAATAATAGAAGGTGTAGGTGAACCATGTCCACCTATTAAGATGCCATTACATTCAGTATCTATTGATCAGTTTCCAAATGTCTGGAGAAAAGATATGTCTTTACACAGAAAAAAGGTCAGAAAAAGGAGAAAAGATTTGAATGCTTTTGATTGGTCTGTTCTTCATCAATCAACATCCCTTATTACAAAGAAGGGAAACATTCATTCAAGAAAATCTGAAAATGCAGTGCAGACTAGTTTCTCTCGTCTATTGGAGTCATCATCAGTTATGTTTTCTTATAAAAGAAAAATTTAAAAATTACTATAATTACTCAAATATGAATAGTAGATGTATCACAAACTGCACATTGTACAATGTATAAACAAAATTCAGTCAGTAATACTTTTACAAGACACCACATTTGGTGTTTTTCTTAGTTTGGTTTAAAACAGCTCTAATGGCTTCTTCAACGACATCATGTACTTGTCTCCCAGTGATTGAGGAACACTCAATATATTTTGCAGCATTAATATCTTTTTGAAGTTCTAACCCTTCAATTATTGTTGTAGGAGTTTCACTTTCTTGAGCACTTTCCTTATCATCACGCAGATCTAGTTTGGTGCCAATCAGAACAACTGGGACATCAGGAGAATAACTGGAAACCTCTGGATACCACTAATAATACATTTCGATTATGTCACTAAAATAATTATACCTTTCTCTTAACATCATCATAAGACGAACGATCAACAAGAGAAAAACAAATTAAGAAAACATCAGCTTTAGAATAAGCAAGTAATCTCAATCTGTCATAATCTTCATTAGCTAAAAAATTGAATCATATAATATTCTTATTAGTAACCTTTTATCAGTACTTTGAGTGTCCAATAGATCAATACAAGTTCGTTTATTATCAACCAACTCATCAACTGACCGTGAAAGATTTTCAGGAGGATACTCGCCAGGAATAGAACCAGTAATGTAACGATAAAGGAAAGTAGTTTTTCCAACTCCTTCATTTCCAACTAAAACTCCTGTAATATTTATTACACCCATAGTAGCTGAATAAAGGAAAAAAACTCAGATCACCTGAAAGCTAATACCAACTAAATTCAATGCTGCTATATAACAAAATTTAAACATTATATAAATGTATTTTTTGTCGTAGTAAAATCACTGATAAAGGTATTCATTAATAAAGTTATGCTTAAGCAAGGCAGCTACTTCTCCATTTATTAGTCTCAGCAGGAGCCCATGAAAAAGAAAGGTAGTGATCTCAGTTGACTAGTAAAACAAACTTGCCATTTGCCAATCAAAATGGCAGTGAGCCAATTAATTATGGCATGTGGGCAGAATCATAAAACTGTAGGGTGCTCTTTTTTCAAGAAATATATAATGTTTTATGAAAATGCAAACAATATGTCCGCAAATTATAAATTATAACTTAAGGGTGTGTGTCAACACATACATGTACATGTGTGCATGATAGTACATGTAGATGTTTTTAATTTTACTGTTCTCTCAAACCCTGCTGGCCCTTTGTCAAATCAAGTACTTCAAAGAACAATTGTGTTAGCTAACAAATTATTCATAAATTATACTTTTGCCAAAAAGGAACAGAAAATTTATAGCTTTAAAAAAAGAGCACCCAATGGTATCAAGTATGAAATTCATAGCTTTTCCACTTGCCGCTCAGTGGTCTATAGTCTGTTTAGTAACAATACTGTATAAGTTTTTAGAGGGGACAATTCTGACAGATTTAGCAAATTCCATCAAAATACATAAAAATGAACAGGTTGGTATAAAATTTTGGGAATTTGTTCAGATTTGACAACTGTTGGTAAAAATTTTTGCAAATCTTACCTTCTGCAACCATTTTTTCCTAGTGTACGTATCACACCTCTTATGCGGAATTTGATTCCATAAATCCAATGAAAATGAAAATTAGCAAAATTTATCTCCATAAATAAAACTCCTATACAGTATTAGAATGGTACTGTATATGGTGGAATTGAAATTTGCGAATCGAAAATAATATTAAAAGTAGCTTTGTGAAGTATAATTCCCTTCATAAAACCACTAATATGGCAATAAAAAAAATATTTTGCTATGATTCAAAATGCTAACATCAACCAAATCCAAGCTTTAATTAGTGGCACTTGAATACACCATAATTATGAAGAAAAATTATTGTGCTCTTTAATCACTATTATTTTGCATCAACAATGATATTCCTCCCCTTTTGTATATTAGGTTTTGTTCACATAAAGAAGACGGCAATGTAGAAGAGGAGTGGCTAAATAAAAACTAAACCCTAATTCGGATCCTGAAAAGTTTGTCCCACCTCTTCCGGTGCTGTCTTCTTTATGTGAATATGTACTACTGACCTTACAGTGGGTTCCAATATGTGGGGTAGTAGTCAAGTGAGAAAGATATGTATAAGTAGTGTGCTTTGCAACCTGCCACGAAACTATAGGCTAAGAAATCGAAACACAAATAATCCAATGAGGGTATTTTAAAGCACTTACAGACTCATCGAGTAAAAAATGGCTACTTCTAAAGTTTGTGTAAGTCTCAAATCAATTGAACAGGGAATACTGGGCAGAGAGATTAACTAGCTAGGACTGACTGAAGCTATTTAATATTTATTAAGGACAAAGAAGGAGTGGTCCAGAGGACTGTACTGGATTTCATTTACTCTTAATAATTTAATATCAAATAATGTCGATTAGGTTTGAATACTTTTTTATTTGTAACTATCATAAGATAATACAAAATTCTTCTAACGAGGATTAGAAGGCTTAGCCCATTCAACTTTTAAAATTAAATGATCATAGCCAAACCCATTCAAATTTGTAATAGCACTTTGTGCATCTTCTTTACTGGAGAAGTGAATGAAAGCAAATCCTTTAGACTGTTGAGTTTTCCGATCCTTAGCCAGGAATACACGTTGAATGGGACCAAAACGCCCAAAGAGTTCCCTTAAATCACTTTCCCGTGCATCTTCAGAAAGATTTGTTACACGTACAGCTGCTTGTTCATCATCATTCCTAGAGTGTGACATCAGCTCTCCTTTCTTTCCACCGGCACCATCAGAGCCACGAAGACTTGGCGGTACATATTTCCCCCCACTAGACCGAGTTGGAAGGTTGCCGACACCACTTCCTCCGGACTGTGCCCCATTAGAGTTGTCTGGTGGTGCTTGAGAATTATTTGCTTCCTCCAACATTGTCGTCGCACCAAGAGTATCCTTGTAAGGACACTTACTGCTCCAGTGATCTCCTTTACAATAACGACAGGACACCATTTTGTGTTGAGACCCCAGCTTCTTCAGTGGGTCGTCATCTTGTTCTAGTGTCTCAGTGTTAGTCGTTAGAGTCAAATCCACATCTTCAGCCACCTGTGTCGTGCTAGGATTAACTCCTTTTCCGTCAGATGAAGCATCACCAAACTTGCCCCATTCCCGACGAAGAGCAACAGACTTAGGTATGCGTTTGATCTCATATATTTTGGTTATCTTGAACATACCATCCTCAGTCAATTCATGGTGTGTAACAATTTTTTTGTTTCCATCGAATGTAACCTCTTCTTTTTCCATACGGTCAGCCCAGCTAGAGCCATTTTCTGTGGAGTCATAAGTCATGGTCATTGTGTCCTTTCTTCCTTTAAATCAAATTCAGTCAATGGTATTGGTATAACACAGTTAAGTAGTCACTAGTCAACTTGAACAGCATGGAAATTGGGGAGGGGCTGGGGAGGGGCCTTGCTTTAATAACGGAATGCGCATGCGCATCAATAAGCAAACCGGGCCCGATCGGTTATGGTCCGTGTTATGAAAATTCCACGTGCTACTGCATGATTTCTGTGGTGGGATTGATGGATTTGCAGTAGGTAAATCAAGTTAATCAACAGCTCCCCACCAAGAAAGCAGCTGGTCCTGTAACTAGGGAACCGGCGCCTCTATTTCCAGATAGTACAATCCTTTCTGGGTTTTATACTCTGAAAAAGTAGAGGCTTGGGAAATTAACAGGGAAAGGAGTTTTTGGAGAGATTTTAAGCATATTCCACAGCAGCAAAATTCCCAGGCAGTTACGCCATTAAAGTGGTAAGTGTCTTGCACGAATGTAATTAACTGGAGGGTGGAGCTACACTGTCTGCCATCTGGAGTTGCTGAGAATGTACAGTCCACAAATGGAGGAATAGAAACAAACTGGGATTTTTTATCTAGGAGATGTACTTCGCTGTAGAACTCGATATCTTGCATTAGCCTTTACTCCTACCTTGCATTAGCCTGATGCAGAATTTATTCATATTGTTTCTCCATTCTATCCTTTCCTTTTTGTACATTATGGCCACTCAACGTAGTGGACAATTTAGCTCAATTTCAGCCACACTCTCCCGTTGATTACATCTATGTAAGAGCCCTATAATTTTGCTGACTAGTAAATATGCCATATGGTTAGCAATTTTTTGTGGGGCATATTCATATCTTTCCTGTGAATGAAATTTCTTATTTATAATGATGTTTATTGGGATACCGTAAAGGCAAAACTTTTCACACTGCATTGATACAATGGACCGACAGGGTAATACATGTAAGTAAAAACTGTCGATTCTACTTCTCCAAGTCACTCCGGCCACTGGCTCTAAACAGTTGTAGAGCTAGATAAAGGTTGCAATTTTTTTACTTTTGAGGCTATTACGGCTTGCTCTTTTTACAAAATGGCAGAAAGAGTATTGAACTCCATTGAAAACAGTGTAACAACACTTCCACAATGGAGGTGTGAAAAATTTTCCTTTTACAGTATTCCCAGTCCATTCCTGTTATTCTAGTGCAAAACAATTTGTCAAAGACATACATATAGTACAGTATATTTTATCAAAAATGGCTAGGAGAGAATTTGTCATTAATAATATTTGTGATAGATGTGTATTTGAGCAGAAATGGTACATGTTCTTAGCTGATTCTGATTTTTTATGAATTTGTCTGTATTTTGTCAAAATGATTATGAAAAATCCTCAATTTTTAAAATTATTAGAAAGGTATTATTATTTTTTATAATTTTCAGATGTCCTTGGTTGATTATGGATTTGCTTTTTGATATTCTCCTAATGTTGAACACAAGCCATACAAACCTGACCCAAGACTTTGTCATGATGGGACTATTGAGTTCACAAGCATTGATGCACATGATGGAGTTTGTAAATAATGATAAAATTGCTACTTTTATGGATTGATTATTTGTAGGTCCATCACATAGAGGGGATCTAGAAATACTTGGCTACTGCTTGTTACTATGGTCTTGTGGCAGACTTTTATGGGAGGATCACATAGATGATAAGCCAAAGGTGGCAAGTTTGAAGAAAAGGTACTTGTTTATACAATTATGAATGCCTTAACTACATATAATTCGACTTCAATTACAATAATAATTATATTCACATTATATTTTAGACTATTCTAATGATTTGCTTTAATTATTATTCACTGTTCCTGTATTGTATTTATATGCTCTCTTCAGGTATAAAGATGCTCCTAATGACCTGATTGAGAATTGCTTCAAAGAAGAGGCACACCCAAAATATCTTCAAAGATACATGGAACTCATTTATAAATTGTCATATGATGGACCCCTCAATACGAGAAATTAAGAAATTTATTTATGAAGGAACTGAAAGATAACAGCATGAGTGATGATGGAACTGGCCTTGACTGGATTAGAGGAGGAGCAGGAGGGTTGAAAGGAGAGAAAAGAAAACATGATCCTAAACCAGGCAATGAATCTAAAATGGTGCCAAAGGCTAAGGGTAGAAGAATGGCATGAATTATCTTGAACATACCATCTTCAGTTAACTCATGGTGTGTAACATTTTTTATTGGAGCTGTTGAGTCATAAGTCGATCAATTTTATTTTTTATTCTCTCACTGATTTTATAATTTAATTTCCTTTTTCTACTGTAATTTTGACTGCAAGATCTCTTATTATTATAATTAATAACCACGGCTGACCACGCCTATGAGCTCCACCTCGTCATTATTACTATGTCAATGTGATGGGATTAGTGGGCTATGGAGCAAGTTGATATTTTGGCGAAGCGATTGAGATGTCCATCTACAGTAATTGCAAAGGCAAAAGAATACTTCAGACTCTCTCAGCTTAAGTATAAAGGACTTACTGATTTTTCTCTTGCAGCAATATGTCTTGAACTGTCTTGTCATCAATTAGGAGAGGCAGTTGATAAAGTGGGTGGCAATGATCAAGCCTGTAGTTAATGGAATTGAATTGTTAGAAAAGATGTCAACGTTTCAGTGGATTGCAAGTAAAGCAGTATCTTAATTCGTATCAGAATATTGAAAAAATTCTGAAAATACAATCACGAACAACACTAAGAGATATAGCGCTTAGAATTGGCTTGCCAGAATTAGAAGCACCTGCAGGTCAGGTTTTAAAGAGGTATGGGATAGTTGAATGTAATTTTAATGTTTTATTATTTATATTTGTAGTTATCAAAATCACCTGAAGTACAAGCATGGATCAGCTCGATATGAAGCGATTGATTTCTCTTCATCTCTGTACACTGCTGCTGCTATATTCACTGCATCAAAGTAAATAAAACCACTTCACATAATATTTAGCATTTGAAAGGGAAGGTACAATAATGCTAACTTGCTAAGTAATATTTGTATTTCAGCTTTAATGGCATCTGGGGAGACTATTGGCTGGCTGAGTATGCCAAAAATTAATGGCTTTAATTTTATGAATAGTGGATGTGCTTATTAAAATATAATAAATTTTACAATGTGCACATGTATTGAACTTTGTCTGTTGAATGTGAATTACCTAGGAATTGAAACTTAGATTTTTTGTCATATATATATATATGTGTGTGTGTGTGTGTATTATAGATCATACTAAACAGGTCTATATACAAAAAATATAAACCCGACCACATCAAAGGATGATGTCATAATTATGATATATTTAACACCCTTAAAATTAATGTGAGGTTCAGGGCATTTGCCCTTTCTGCCCCCCCCCCTTCAGTGACCCTGCTGACCTACATGTAAGTTTACATGTAACCTTGTAAAAAATTTGTTAAAGTTCTATTATAGTAATCCTAATTATGTATTACCTGTAATTTATTAATCAAGAGAAAAGAAGTGAAATTTGCCAAGTTATTTTGTAAGATACATGTTGTAGCTACATGTTTCAACATTAGTATTCATTATAGTACATGTAATTGAATCTGTCTTACGTGACTGGACTGCATGTTGAGTGAAAAATTACCATTGTTTGAATTGTATTGGTTGTTATCAATATCTTTATGTACAGTGCATGAAGGCAATGTCAGGAGTACAATGTACCAACTACATGTATGTATATTGGTAGTGTATTATGGGTCTTAATAAGTTAATATTATCGTTTATTACTCTCATTATTATTGTTATCATTGTATATATTCATGTAGTATTGTGGTTTGTGACATTCCTCTCTTCTTTAATTAATATTCTTTCTATTTTAGTTGTGTTGTTTGTTTGTTTGCTTGTTGTTATTTTCTTCTTGTTTCGTTTGTTGCTTTGCTTAGTGATACTTTGGAGACATTACAATCCTTTTCTAGACTACTAAAGATGAAATGTGACAAAAGTAAACTCTTAGCAATATCATCGAATAATATGAAAACATTTAAGAATGTCATGGAGGAGATGCAGGAGGCTGCAGCATCAATTGTACAGGATATCCGTATGTTGATAACTGTAGTAATATAGTGCATAAAGACTACTTTTTAGTTGATACAAATTGTACAGGGAAAAGTACAATAGAAGGCAGTGATGATCAAGTTGAATCAATTACAAAAAATCCAGGTAATTATTACTGATACCGAAGGTTACTGTATTTTTGCTAATGTATGTTGCAGATGTAGACAAAAATAATGGGTCCTGAAATATTAGTTATTTGTACCACTCAGAAATAGTTCATTTGTGTCTCTCTATCTTTCTTCAGGTACTGTTGAATGCATTAGAGCTCAATCATTTCAAGAACGATGTGTTTCTAATCCGAAAAGACAAGAATATATTGAATGGAAGGAAAAGATGCTCAAGGCACCATAACGATATGTATAGATCTATGTTAGATGAATTTAAATTTTGATTTAATGGCAGATTGGCAGCACAAGTTAATTTTTTTCAGCTGTTCCCATCAGAACAACTGTAGGCCATGCAGGTCTCCTTATAGGAACAGTTGGAGACAAGATAATGTACTCCACCCCATTTTAAATTCTTACTTGAAATGTTAAGTCCTCAACGAAGAGCTGAATTGGAGTTGATTAATATCAGCAAAAACATGTCATGTGTCTGCTTGTATAATCTTTATATATGGGTGGTATGTACATGTATTTGATTGTCATTCGTAACAAGGAGTCTCTTGTATTGGCTACAGCTTTTGATAAAATGAGAAGTAAATGGTGAAGTGGTAGAGAGAAGACATTGAGAAGGATTTAGAAAGTACAATGCATACATTTATTTAAAATATTTGTTAGTTTAAATTCAGTATGCATTTTCTATGCGTATTTGCTACTTGGTTGATTTGATCTAAAATGTTTGAAATTATAATGCTCTAAAGGATATGTCAAAGAATGATATGGTTAAAAAGGTAATAATTTAATTTTTCTTAGAATAAACTGGGCTTTCTCACCAGATTTGATAAGTTACATGTATGATAAATGCAGTTCTTCCTCGGAGATTTTTTAGCACTTTTACTTCACTACAGTTAAGTCACCTCAATCTGTCAATTCATAGTAACAAAACCTTGGCATTCTATCTGTGAGCATATACTGCATATTATCGCTGCTCAAATATTATAACTGCCATTTGTTTGTGTTTTAGTGTATTTGTGTACCTCATGATAATTGTAGTGTAATGAGAGTTTTAAGTGTTATTACAACCAAAATATGCCCAAAATCTAGTTGCATAGTCATAAAAATTTCTTATTGTAAAGCTTGTAATTATTAAAAAATAATGAGTATCACAATTATCGTTAATGTGTAATCAAAGAACTAAAATCAAAAGGACTAAATTTAGCAAGGTTATAAAATAAGGAAAATAATGACTAATATATGCCATAAAAAGCTTTAACTATTATAGTCATTTCATGTGGAAGAAGTAACTTTTAAATAGAACTGAAGATACCAAAATGATGCCAAAACAAGCGCAAGAATTAACAGACAAAGCACCATCTCTGCTACTCCAAGATGCAACCAAGCTGGTGACTCGGGTTTAGCTTGAGGCTTAGGCTTAGATAGTTTGGTTGATACAGGAGGAGCTACCTCATCATGCAAATCTCTTCTACTCAATCTTTGAATTGGCCCAGTTGGTACTGTAGTAGTCTCCTCGTCATCACTTGAGATGTATGAAGTATGAAGTGGTGGTCTCTGTGTTATAGTAGAACTACGTAAGTAATATCGAGAAGGTGTAAGATCTCTTGTAGTGAAGTGGCGTTGTGGTTTTCGCCTTGGTGTCGTAGCAGCCGGCTTTCGAATTTTAGAAACAACAGTTTTAGGAGATTGATTAGCTGACTTCCTATATCTACCACGTGATACACTACGACGTTTCCTTCTCGAACGAGGTGTACTTGACCCACCATCAGTTTCATCAGCACTCGACAACACTGTAACTGGAGTAATAGCTGTTCCTGAACGAGTCACCATTTTTCCCTAATTAAACAATCTAATTAGCAGCTGAGGTTGACTTTTCTTACTTCGCTCGCTAGAAAAGAATCCACCAAGCTTTTACAGTTGGAAAGGTTAGCTTCTGGCTCCCAGGAGTCGTTGTCACTACTGTACCCAGCCCATTGAACCTTGTAAAATGTTCGGCCATTTACTTCCTTTCTTCCAACAACGTTGCTAACCTAACAGAAAATGATAATTGTAAAAAGGCATGGCTTTTCTTTACTTGGTACAGTTTGCCATCGTTTGCCATGACAACTGCAACCCTTTGTCCTCTCAAAAGTGAGAAAAAAAATAGCGCGCCTTTAATCCGTAACTATGGCGAGTTGCTCTGACAACAAGGTTTCAAAATCCCAATTCGAATTTAAATATCTTGCACGTGATCTTTGCTTAAAGTCACATGATCAAGCATACTGATCACATGACAGAAATGTAGCCCACGTGTACTATAATCTACTATTACGTTGAAATAAAATGGCCTCTTTTGAAAGAGGGGAAGGTAGACTAGAGGGAATAGAACAAGACGAGCAAGCAGGTGGCTTGCTAATTCAGAAAAAAAGAAAGGGAGGACGGGATGACGATGACGAAGGTGTCTTTAAGAAGCCTAAAGCCTCTTTGTTAGGGCTTGATGCATTGGCACGAGAGAAGAGAAAACAGTCTTCCAGCAAACAGGAGAAAGCTAGTACTCACAAAGTGCAGAAGAGAAAGTTTGATGTTACAGATGATCAAGACAGAGGAAGCATTCGTGTTAGCTTTGGTAGCAGTCGGCCTGGTAGACGTTACAGGTTAGCTGGGTTTAATTACATATAAAGTAGTACATGATATTAGTCAGCAGTCATACTATGGAAAAAATTGGGATGTACATGACTGAATCATCTAACAGTACTTTTTATGTTACATACAGCTCGTGGTATTTTTCTTTTTCTATGAACATGTATGTCATTGACAGTTCTGCAAACATTATAAACGTTGCAACATGTGTTCACTATAGTATGTATCTATCTGGATTTTATTATTTATGATGTTTTGTGTTATGAAAGCAAAGGCACCATTGATGGATAATTAAGAGCTTAATTCAGACACTTACTGAGAGCCGATAGCTTTGGGAAGTTGAGAAATTGAAATGGAAGGGTAGTACATGCATTTTACAATATAGAGGAATTTTGTTTGCTATTTAGGAAAATAAATCAGTTAGACCTAGTGCTGGTGACATCCCGGATCCTGAGTTAGCCATTGAAGTTGATTACTATTGTTAATTGACTTTTGACATTAGCAATGTAGTAAATATTGATCTTAGATACATAAGCAGTATTTTATGCACTGATATGACCTAATCATGTATTTACACAAGTTTATCTACTTTGACATCAATATATACCTGCATTACATGTGCAATGTCTATTTGTGCTTAAAATAATAACTTTATCCCTCTATTCAATGAATGATACACCGTTGGTACTTTGTTTTTATATTATCCAAGTGTATATCAATATTCATGTAGATCAAAAAATATG